GCGATCAGTCTTAGGCACACGTCCTTTTTCCCCCTCCCTTCCTCATCCCCCTCCACCCCCCCCCCTCCACCCCCCCCCCAAAAACCAAAAACCCGATTTCGAAATTCCCAAATTCCTTCTTATTCTCCTCATCCTCCTTCCCCTCTCCTCTTCCCCTCTCCCCTTCCCACATCTAATCGCGGTTGATTATCCCGCCCTTCTTTTTTTTAAACAGCGTTTGCTTCTTTAATATTTCCAACTTGTGGCTGGACACCACTTTCTCTCAATACCCTTTACTTCCATTTCCCCCGCTCAAGGAATGATCAGACATCCCAACGAACTCCTGTCGTCGACACGCCTACAGAACCGGTGCGAGCTTACCCAGGGGACAATACCACCGTCAATTTAGTCGTTCTTCTCTCTAAGAGACACCCACACACATGGCTCCTTCCGCACCTGGGACGGCCAACTCACCGGCTAAGAAAACATCGGTGCCGGAGAAGAAATACAAATGTCAATTTTGCAATCGCGCGTTTAGCAGAAGTGAACATCGCAGTCGCCATGAGCGCTCACGTAAGTTTGGAAAATTCTGTGTCGCGTCTTGTACCCATCTGACAGGTTCGAAAATACAGACACGAAAGAAAGACCCTTCAAATGTTTAAAATGCCGCAGTACGTTCGTTCGTCGCGATCTTCTTCTGCGACATGACCGAACTGTTCACGCTAAGGATGGCGGAATCCCCCTGGTCGCAGAGGGGCGTAGACGTGGTGGAGGGGTTCAGAAAAACTCATCTGCGCCAGCTAGGCCGTCGGTCACCATTGACCCGACGACTCTGGAGCAGACTGAGGCAAGCAGCGATGGTATGCCCGACCTTGAAACTGCAGCCATGTTGATGACAGATTTCCAACATAAGGCTGCAGCAGCGGCGACCGGCCAGGTCTCCGAGCGTTCCGAATCCCTTTCGCCAGGACACGGCTCCTTCGAGCCCTACCTCTCGGGCAACGCCACTCTGCCTCAGATGCCTTGGGATACACTTATCTCCCCCGCGGAACCAGGATCGATGCCCACCCTAGTCGATCGCCATGGCCCTGTTGGCGACATTCTCATGTCTAACTCACTGCCTATGTCTGGGCATTCTACTCCCAATGCCCTGTCACCCTACCCCTCGATGACTGGCCCCGTTAGCCCGGTTAATTATCGCCGCTCGCCCGGCCCCAGTCAAGCGCTGACCCTTCCCAGGGCACCCCAACTCGCTAACGAGATGGAACGCAACTATGTAGTCGACCGGGTTCAGGGATCAGATAGCCTTGGTGCGCTTCCCGATACTTTCCAGCTTCCTTCCACAGTTGCGCTGAACCGGTATTTGTCCACCTACTTCAATCTGTATCATCCTCACTTGCCATTCCTCCACCAGGAATCATTCAACCCTTGCCAAGTGCCGGCACCACTGTTGCTTGCAGTATTGTCGATTGGTGCTCTCTACACTTTCGAGCGCGAGCACGCCTTCATGCTCCATGTCGGCTCCAAGGTCCTAGTCAACCAATTCTTGCAACATAAGGACAACTTCGATTCCCGCAAGTGCCCCTTGTCATTGATGCAGGCTACTTTGTTGAACATGGTATTTGAGAGCTGGAGCGGTGACCCAAAGGGCCTTGAATGGACTTGCTCGATCAAGAGTTTACTGGCCAACATGGTCGCTGGCAACCGATACCAGCTCAAGTTACGAACCCAGGCTCGCCAGAATGTCCAGCCATCGCGCGAGGAGTGGATTGAGGACGAAACTTGCCGTCGTACATACTTCGCCGTGTACATCTTCTTCGGCATGTTGACGCTCACATTCAACCACACTCCTGCCATGAGCTTCGATGAGTTTGACGACTTGGAGCTCCCGTCGTCAGAGTCCCTTTGGAACTTGGACGCCACGGATGACGAAAGTTGGCGCCGTGCCACGGTCTCGAGCGCATTGACCGTGCGTGAGGCCCACGACTTCCTTTTCCAGGGTGAGAAGACCCGCTACAGTGCATTCGCCACCCGTGTCCTCATCAATGCCCTGTTCCTGCAAGTTTGGAGCCATAAGCGCAGCTTTGAGGCTCTCCAAGATGTGGTTACCGAATACAAGCTGCGCCTGGCTCTCGAGACCTGGGAGAGCTCCCTTGAGGTTTGCGAACCGGAAACCATCGTGGTCCCGCTTAGCACACCTCAGAAGGGTCACCCCTTGATCTTCAACTCGATGGCGGTCTACCGCAATACCCGCGCCCGCCTGGAAGTTGACCTGAAATCCATCCAGGAGGCGATGCGGTACCACTCCTCATACGAGGTGGCGGCTGCCATGACCGTCGCTCGTGAGAAGGTCAAGCGCTCGCAAGAGATGAATAAGGTTATCCAACAATGTTTCGAATGCATTGAGATTGCCGCTATTCAGGGCATCAATTGGGTTGCAAAAACCTCCGCTACCAACTGGAGTGTTGAGAACCCTCTCTGCGGTCTGGATCTGATGGTCATCTTGAGCCTCTGGCTCTACCGCCTGGAACATGACGATGAGCCGGCAACCGAGGCCGAAATGGCCCTCTACAACAAGGTCCGCAATCTGTTTGATGACGATGCCATCGACGCATTTGGCAAACTCAGTTCCACCGTCGCCCGTGTATGGGGTAACATCCTAGACGGCGTGGTTGTTTGGGGGTAAGCTTTTATTCTTTATCCACTTTGATGAACAAATTCACTAACTGTTTATAGAATCACCAAGTTGATGGGCGAATCATTCAAGCTCCACTCCCAGGCCCTTGTCGGCTACGAAGATTCTCTCCGTGTTGGCAAGGATCAGCCGATTCATGCGGTGCCAACCAAGTCGCTTGCTAGCGTCGGCACTGCATACTAGATTCTCCTTTGATCAATCTCCTCGAGTTGATCTGCTTTGGCTTATTTCTTGAAATTTCTTTTTTTTGTTTTTTTGATTTCTTACTCTCATTTGTTGGACGCTTTCTTTTGGGACACTTCGGACTTTGGACTGGACATGCCAGTGGGCAGGCGGGGTGTTAGGCTTTTCTGGAATACTTCGCCTTTTGATATCCCTCTCGGTGGTTCCTAGTCTTTGCTTTTTTGCTTTTTTTTTTGCTTTGCCTTTTTTTTTTTTTGCATTTTCCCTGCCTCTTCTTACACCAGGGAGTCCAGTGTGGTGTTTCTGCTTTCCGTCTTCGACACCTGGCTGGTCCTGTGTGTACATTCGCACTCCGTGGAGTTTGACTTTATGGTTCATCTTAACCCCTAATAGTGCCCTCCCTTCGTCCATCTGCTTTTTGTGCTCTCGATACCTTTTGATATTTCATGCGTTCTTGTTTGCGTTGCTTTTTTTCATTTCTTGCCATCTTGTCTCTATTTCTTTGGTTGGTTTCCAACCGCTGTATTCGATGTTAATTGCCTGCGTGCCTTTCAACCCCGTCTTCTTTGCTTTTTATGCTTTTTACGCTCAGCATTGCTTTGAAAATTTTTGCATTTCCTTCTCCTGCACATGTTTTTATGCCTTTTTCTATGTACTATACGTTATCGATGAATTATCTGGCGGGGACAACCTCTTTTCCTAGACCTTTATAGATTGTAGATTTGAATTGTACCTGAGTAGTTCGTAACCTGGCTCATTTTTAGCCATGTAGTTGTAGTGAGGTACATAACCATCTCTAGTATCTAAACCTGAAACAGCAATCCAATGCTGATTGATTGTAATATGCCAAAAACTACTTCCCAATAGCAACAAACAATCGATCACCAATATCGCCAATACCAGGCACGATCATGCCCTTCTCATCAACACCCTTATCAATACCACCAACCCAAACTTCAACCTCACTCCAAGTCCCCGCAGCACGCTTAACTCCCTCTTCGGAAGCAAGCACGCTAAGCATAATAACCTTCTTCACGCCCCAATCGCGCAGCAATTGAATTGCTGCCTCGGCCGTCGCACCAGTAGCGATAACAGGGTCCAGCAGCACAGCCAGGCTTGCAGCTGCGGTGTTGGTGGTTGGGTTCAGAGAGGCTGGCGAGGCCGGTGACAGCTCCGACCGGTGGAATGGGAGGTTATTGTAGTATTCCACTGGTTGAAGAGAGACCTTTTCGCGGAATAGGCCCAGGTGGTAGACTGGCACTGGGGTTGGGAGCAGGTCGTTTAGGGCTGTGGGGGAAAGTGTAAGCGGGATTTGGACCCGTGGATGGGTTAGGAGTGGGGGGGGATCTCGGGATAAGTTTGGGGAGTGGGGGGAATGGTGGTGATAGGGGGAGATAAGCTGTAAATGGAAATGGAATTGCAATGTGCTTGGGATTGGATTTGAGAATAGGATTTGGGGAATGGAATGAATAATAAGGTAACATTGCAGGGAATAATATGGGTTACAGTTGCAGTGCTGGTTTGAGGGGTTTATATGGAATGGATTGAATTTACTCACCATCAACCATTCCTAGGCCAGATCGGAGGATTGGCACTAGAGCTAGGTCTGCTGGGTCAATGCCCTGGGTTTCATACTCGATTCCAAGGGGGGTGGTGTCCTGGGAATCAGTGTTAGGAGATCCGATAGTAGTGATGTATGAATTTCAGTCTCGGGGATCTATTTACCGTTCCTGTTTTGACCAACTTTAGCCCTGAGAAGGCTTCCACGCCTATGATATTGGCAATATCATGAACCAAGCCTCTTGTCTCACGCGGGGTGGTGGAGGATGAGCGGATTAAGGAGAGCTTGGCTTGTAGACAGGGGTGGGAGGAGACATGGACATTTGATGGGAGAGACATGATGAAGTGTAGAGGATGTTAGGAGCAGGAGAGAGGAGAGAAAGAGAAAGAGAAAGAGAAGAAGAAGAATGAGAGAAAGAATGAGAATTAAAGTAACAAGCCCGTTATCTCCTTCCCCTCATATCCCCTCTTATACAAAACGACTAGGCGCTAATCTTATCGGAACTCCACCTGATCTCCGGTCTCCGGTTCTTGGCATCCTTTTTTACCCTCCATCTTACTCTATCCCTTCACCAGCTTGGGAATGCCTTCAACTACCGCAGAGGTTAATAACCCCTCGGAGTACAACAATTACCCTTTGACAGAGGTCCCACAACCAAGGGACACTCCAAACGAATCATGGCCAAGCTCGGGTGACCACGCAGCGCCTGCACCACCACATGCATCTGCTGCGCCGCCCCTCTCCAAACACGCAACCCACATCTACACCGTCTCCTATTTAATCTTCTTCTCAATCCTGGGCACGCTAGCCCGTCTAGGCCTACAAGCACTGACGTTCTACACAGGTGCCCCCGTCGTGACAGGGGTGCTATGGGCAAATGTAGGCGGAAGCTTGGTAATGGGATTCCTGAGCGAGGACCAAAATCTATTCCGCGAAGAGTGGGGCAAAGAACCAACTACAGACGCAGTCGAGAACGAGCCTAAAATCAAGAACCAGAAACACAAGGCCGTGAAGAAGACCATCCCGCTGTATATTGGTCTGACGACCGGGTTCTGTGGTTGTTTCACCTCCTTCTCGTCCTTTATGCGTGATGTCTTCCTCGCCTTGGCAAATGCGCTTCCTGATTCATCCCTGCCTAACGGATCACATATCGCCTCTCGAAATGGTGGGTATAGCTTCATGGCGCTGCTCGCTATCATTCTAATCACCGTGTCGCTGAGCTTATCGGCGCTCATTTTCGGCGCGCATCTTGCCCTGGCTCTAACTCGCGTTACACCCACTGTGCCCTTTGTGTTCACGCGACGAGTCCTCGACCGTGTTGTGGTTGTTCTTGGGTGGGGATGCTGGCTCGGGGCCGTGTTCTTGGCCATCTGGCCGCCAGACCGACATCATGGCCCAGATGTGTGGCGTGGCCGGGCCGTATTTGCTCTCGTCTTTGCGCCACTTGGCTGCCTTCTTCGGTTCTATGTCTCGCTGCATCTGAATAGCAAGATTCCAAGCTTCCCGCTCGGCACGTTTGTGGTTAATATGTTTGGGACTATCATTGAGGGTCTTTGCTATGACTTACAGCATGTTCGTGGTCTTGGAGCAGTAGTCCCTGCTGCTCTGACAGGTTGCCAGGTGTTGCAGGGTGTTATGGATGGATTCTGCGGAAGCACGACTACTATCAGTACTTGGGTTGCTGAGTTGAAAGGACTGGCTCATCGGCGCCATGCATATGTATATGGAAGTGCCAGCGTGCTTGTCGCGCTTGGGTTTTTGGTTGTTATCATGGGCTCGCTATTGTGGACGCGTGGGTTTGACGAGCCTGTGTGTGGATAGAAATGTAATAGGTAGTTAATAACTGGTAGTGTATGATATAATGTAAAGTATAGCCAAAATAATTCAAAATGACGATATATGAAAGATGAGAATGCCCGAATTGATATGGATAATCCACAAACGATATCAAATTACCCCAATCACCAACACCAATCCAACGCCCTGATCCCCTTCTAACCTTCATATAACATAACATTCGGAATCATAGACCAACCCTACTCCCGACTAGGTGCAGGCCCAATCTCAACAGCCGGACTACTTCCACCCCCAAACCTCCTGGCCGGACTCGCCGACGGAAACCCATCAACCCGTAAAGCATCCTGACCCAAACTCCTTCCCCCATCCATCGCCACCCTAACAATAGAATCAAGCGCTATCCCACTCCCAATGGGACTAACAGAACCAACAGCCCTACCCACACCCACGCCACTCCCAAGCAGACTAATAGGGCTAATAGGACTGAATGGCGTAGCTCGACTGAACGGACACTTAATGAACGGGGTTTTCTTTCCAAGTGCGTACATCTCCATCCCGTGGACTGGTAGCTCGGCGCGATTCTCAGGCATGCCGATGCGGTCGAACATCTTTTCTTGCACGGTTGCTTTGGGGGTTAATGTGTCTTTGTCGGGACTTGGGCTTCGGCCTGCTGTTACGGAAGTCGTTGTTCCTAGGGGTGCTTGGGTTGGGCTTTTGTTTAAGGCTCTGCGGCGGGAGAGGTCTTGGGCGTGTAGGCGGGCTTGGTTTACTAGGATCGGGTTGGTTGTTAGGGGAACATTAAGGGTTGAGCATAGTTGGTAGCATGTTGAAGTGGGATTGGGAGGTGGATGTATGTGTTTAATATGAATAGCCACAGACAGATGCGTATATCTTTGTATTGATGTAGATATATATGAGGAAGAAGCGAATGGGAGAATGACTTACTACGCCAGAGAGTAACATATGCACCCATAACCACTATACAGAGAGATATGAAGCCGAACATCAGCCCTAGCTCGTGGCGGAGCGAGGGCATCGGTACGTAGGGTGGGTATTCGCTCGAAGCCATAGTGAAGTTTGGATATATAGTATAGTTGTATTTGGAGGTCCACTCCCATGAAAATGAAAGATTCCTCTTTCTAATAGTATTTCGAAGACGGGGCTCGAAGATAGGAAATCAACGCAAATATTCGAATGTCAATTCGCAACGCAGGAATCTGACAGCCCCCGAGGGTTTTGCGTTTGCCCTGATAATCGGTTTGCTCAATTGCAGTCAAAAAAAGAAGGCCAAAAGCGAGGGGGCTCGGTTCAAATGCTGAACCAATAGAGATGGCGAGAACAAAGAGGATCAAAATATTCTTTGAGGGTGAAAGTTTGAATTTCGAGTAACAAAGAAAGCCATCCCCCAGTCAGTCCGAGTGCAACCATGCAAGAGGCGTAGACTAACGAAAACAAAGTCTGAAAGAAAAGGAAGAAAAGCAAAAATGTATAGTCAGTTCGTATTGGCCATATCTATATACACTAATTAGGTAAAGCTCATATACTCCATACACACGGGAGAATCTGCATCAGAAACAAAAAAAGGTATCATGTACAACATGCATACAAGATGCAACTCTAGTATACTCCCAACAGTACCAAGTACACATAGTACCTCAGCAAGTCAGATAATGCAATAGAAAGAAAAAGGGGCTCAAAGATCCAATCCCACGCCAGAACACAAGGCCATGGATGCAATAATAGACAAAATGGTAAAAATCCGCTGCAAAAGACCATAAGAAAAAGAAAAAGGTAAAGGGTCGCAGAAATATGTCAAGCGGAAAGATAAACAAAGTTCGAGCGGTGCCCGGCGTTTCACGTGTCGTGTCAAAAGGTAAAAAGAAGTAGGTCGGGGCGGAGAAAAAAAGGTATGTATCCAAAGCAGCCGGAAGATGTCAAGCTGGGACCCGTTGTTCGTTTCAAAGCGAAACTGACAACGATTACCCAAGCATCACAGCTGCCAGAGCAGTAAAGGTCAACCCGATAGCCATCCCAATCCACGGGGTCTGGCCGAGGGAACCTTCACTGCGCGCCTGGAGGACATAGCGAGCAGCGAGCAAGTGCATCTCATCAGCAGACAAATCGCGTTCCGTGAACGGAGCAAACTGTTCCCGCGGGGGAAGTTCTGGTAATGAGACGGCGGGCGAGTTGTGCGCGAAATCGGAAGAGAGACTGGCGCCTGCGGCGGTTTGTTGTGAGTCTGCGAGGACAGCGGCCGGGGCGAGCAAGGCCAGGAAGGTGGATGGTTTCATTGTAGAGATGATATAGGTGTATGATATTGGAAACGACTGGCGCGCAAATGCTTTGCTTTTGTTGACTGTGAGGAACAAGCAACGCCAAGCTGGGGTTGGTGCGGTGTGGGGGACGGGGGTCTGGAGTTGGCAAGGCAACAGTTGCTGCAGATATCGGTGGAGAGATTGTAGATGATGTTACTTGGATATGAGTCCTGAGATTCACGAATATAAGTTGCAAAGGCCTCAGAAGAACACGCCACTTAATTTCGAGTGGGCTGCTTTGGATTGTCGTAGTCAGGCAACCCGGAGGAATAGGGGGCCAAACACTAGGAGAGTTTTGGTGGTTTCGCCTTGTCCCTCTCAATTGTCGGAATCCAACTCACTCTTAGCCGTAGAGTAGGATTGAAAGAGAAAACGAAGTAGAGAAAAACGCCAGAAAAAAAAAACCGAAACAGCCCAGGGGGGGGGAAATGGGAAATTAAGGGAACAAGATGAAGCCGATCAGGGCGAGGGCTTGATTGGCTGAGCCGCTCTTTGGTTCTTTTGGCTCTGAGGTCCCTGGGCCGTGGGGGGGGGGGGGGGGGGGGGGGGGGACGATCCCTGAATTCGGTGGACTCTGATTGGTTAGAGGGAATACATAGACTGAACTGGACTCTGAGCTGGACTGCCCAAGTGAGGCTAGATCAAAACTGTTTATTCCTGCTTACCTAATCTACATATAAAGCCTCCAGGGCTGCCTAGGTGGAGGGTTTACTATGAGATTCAATAATTTCAATGTACAGAGTATATATCGCATCTATAACCTACATACGGAGTACATACTTCATACTGTAAATACAAACATTCCATCTAATTTCTAATTATAACTCCAAGACATCCCGAGGCTTAATGGACAACGCCACAAAACGATCGTCAGCGCAGACGCCAAATTAGAGCGAATAGACGAGCACTCCCCGCAGGCAAGATGACGACGCGCATACGGAGTACGATATATATGCAATACTAAAATCAAGACATTTAGAACCCTTGCCCTTGGCATACAATATAGACCATATCAAAGGATGGTCCATTGATCTTTTTTTTAGTTTATTTCAATAGGGTTCCGAGGACGCCTTGCACTGGTACCAATAGAACCATCAACTAGGCCTTGATATTCGCTCTAATACGCACCCATGCTTTTATTGATTATATCCCTATGCAAAAGTACCTCTAGTTTTAAAAATGAGCCGCTGAAATCCAAATGCCCAATATGTACTCGGTACACAAAGAACACATGTTCTTTCAGGTTCAGGGGCTCGGCATGGTTTGCTCGGGTTTGCAGTGTGTGCAAGCATTTGCGGTATTGTCTGTTGGCGTGTATGTTGATATAGCTTTTTCGTCCTGAGAGTCCGTGGGTTGCGACTCTTTAGATAGACTGGCCTGCAAGTTTTTCAGCCTGACCTGCTCTCGCGCTCTGCGAACTGCAAGGCGTATATCGCTCGGCAGGGAATTGGTTTCGATTAAACAATCCGCACAAGCACGGCAGTAATACCCGGATTGAGGGTCCTTCGAGTCAACGAGTCGGCGCTTGCTGCTAGGGGCGGTGATCTCACCGCAGTGAAGACAAGGGCTTTTCAAGACCCGGGGGTTGTTTTGTGAACGGGTCGCTCTGAGCTTTCTGAGCGCTGCGATTTTGGCACTGCTCGGCAAAGAGTCTGTTTCAAGTAGGGACCGCGTACATGGCTGGCAGTAGTAACCTGCCGCAGGATTCTGGGGCTCAACAAGCCTACGCTTACTGCTGGAGATAGTTTTGTCACCACAGTGCATGCAGGGGTACTCGCCACGGCTCTGTTTCATCTGCTTAGGGGACTTGGAATCGCCGCGCGACTGGGAATGGTCGTGAGCCATGGATTCTGTCATCAAATCATCCAATGCATTATTTTTTGAGGCGACAGTAGAGGTACGTTTACTCGTACTCCTCTTCCGCATCTCTTTGCGGTACTTGAACGCCGCGAGGTCTTGCTCGGTTGGGAGGGCGCCGTGATGATTGAAATGTCGAACGCATGTCCGGCAGTGAAACCCAGCAGAAGGATTATTCGTATCAACGAATTTACGGCTAGTTCTCGGAGCAGTCATCTCGCCGCAGTGCCTACATGGACTTATTTTGCTTGCCTCTCCGCTGGCCCTGATTCGTTTTCGCCGATTAGTCGCTGCAATCTGCTCCTCGGTTGGTAGATGACCATGGGCATGGATGTTCCGAATACACGCTTTGCAGTGCCAGCCGCTGGAAGGGTTGCCAGTTTCAACGTGTCTTCTAGCCTTGGGAACGGTTTTTCCGCCGCAATGCGCGCAAAGTTCTGGATCTTTGGCTGCAGAAGTCTCATGGCGACGTTGTTGAGTCCATGATACCTTGCCATGGCCCCGGGGACTGCTTTCAGGTCTCAAGAAATTACCGAGAAAGCTCCGTAGCGAAAACGAAGGTTTGTTGGCATGGTGTGGACTTGTCGCAGACCAGCGATGTGTGCAATAGGTGTCGCGTAATCCAGAAAATGATCTTAAGTGTTGTGTTATAGTATGTCTTGTTTGTGGTCCATTGCGGAAGAATTGCGCATAGGATAGGTTGCATTGATATCCGAGAGGACGCAGGGACATGGCGAAGGTTCGTATACCACCGGAGACACTTGATTTGGTCTATGCAGGCATTGTAGGGGAAAGGTGTGCAATTGAATTGGGCCGACTTGTGGCTTGTGCTCGGCCGTAGTGGCTCTTGGGCATAGAGGGTGTGTAATGGTGATTAAATGCTTCAAAGTTGCACTTGACATACGCAAACAAAGTTCGCGGTAGCTGGTGCAGGGCAGATAGGCCTTGGCATTATTGGTGCCTTGATTCTCAGGCCTATATAGAAATTACTAATCACTGCCCAGTTCCACCCACGGCTTCAGTAATATTATTGGGAAGTTTTAAAACACGATGCAAGAAATAAACTGTGCAATATGACTTATTTTATACCAACCAGAGCCTAGAAGAGAAAAGAAAATTAGATATGTAGGAGATGGAGCCAGCTAGTTACATGTACATATTTCTGTCAATGCACAACCAAGAATAATCTGGTCTCTGTTGTTAACGACATAAGACTTTTAATTTAGAACCTGATCCGCTTGGCTAAGATAATACTGGAGTCGTTATAAGAACTTTAAAGGGGGTTTCAATGTTCCTTGAGGCGTTTTATGATATATAGGCCTTCCAATGTACTGAGTATAAATATAGTCACGTGACTATGAACAAGAGGTTGCGTCTCTTCATGGTATTCACTATATAATCTATCTATATATTAGAAATTCAAGTTGAATCCTTTAGGAGGAAAAACCACCCCAATCTAGCTAGTCTTAGTGAGTGTCAAGTTGATAACCAAAAGGATTGCTGTAATAAGTTCGCTTGAATTTTTTTCCGTTCATCATAAAGTACCTTGGGTAGAGAATTCAAAGTATCTCGTCCCAGTTCGGGGTTACTGTGAACTTGCCAGACAATTGACCCATAGACCAAACGTGTTTTGGCGTGTCTTCCTCCGGCTCTGGGGGCACCTTAGACAAGATAACGGCTTCCTGGACGAAACCAACCGGTGCTCCACGATCCAACTCCATACTGATTCCACCCCAGTCTAGGGTCACACGGCCTGACTTGTGCACGTTCAATTTGCCGACACGGCCTGTGGGCAAAGACCAGGGTTGTCCGGCCATAATGACGCTGCTTTCTTTTGACTCGGTTGGTTTATGGGTGCTGTCCACGATCTCCACATCGTCGCCTGCTTCACGCTTGATCTCGTTCTGGGGAGCTGCAGCTGCGGCTGTAGCTTCAGGTTGGTTTTGGACGGAACCGGCGACTCTGAGGGAGGGGGTCATCGGTGGGAATTGCATGAGGAACATTTGGCCATGTAGAGGGTTGTCTTCTTCCTCTTCCTCTGTTTTGTCTTCGTTCTCTTTGTCCCCTTCCTGTCCTTCCACTGTGGTGGATGCATCTTCAGCAGCTCCTTCGGTGGTTTCTGCTTCTGATGTGGTCTTCTTTGACTCCTTGGGGATGAGAAGATCCCTGATAATAGCCAAATCTTCCATGTGTCGGTCATATTCGTCGATCTCCTCTTTAGTGTTAAGTAGGCTGCGCGGGTCTATGATTTCGGGCTCAGGTGAGGGTTGAGTCGATCGTAGTTCTGTTGTGCTCCTCTTTGTTGGGCTCATACTCTGAGCCGAGCGCACACGAACGTTATGTTCTGGAAGGAAGTCGTCGTCATCGGCGTGGGGAATGGCATCCGCCATAGTTGTGTCGTCGTCTTGGGGTTCAGGTTTAACCTTGGTAGGTGTACGGCCAACATCTTTCGCAGATTTCTCCTTCTCTGCTTTCTTGCGGAGATCCGCGGTTCTGCTTGTGCTGGATTCCATGTTGACACTGATGACTCTTTCCTCATGCTCATGTCGCTCAACACGGACGGGACGAAGTCCTCGTTCGCCGCTCGACCTGCTTGGTTGTTTACCCTTGAAATCCTTCGGCGTATCCCAATCCTCGTCGTCGCTATCGAGGTTGATATGATCGATGCTGACACGAAGTTCATTCTCCTCGTCGTCTGAAGAGTCATATGCGCGTCCACGGTTGCCCCCAGTAAGACCAGACCGGTTGTATCCCGAGCCTGCTCCGCCTGAGCCTCCTCCATATCCACCGCCTCCGCCTCCGCCGCCATGACCGCCACGACCTCGCTTGCCGCCTCGTCCACCAAATCCACTCATGCCCATAGCCATGGGTCCACCACGACCACGGAATCCAGCACGACGAGCAGTGCCACCACGGCCGCGCTGAATAGCAGCAGCTTCCTTCAGACGCTCTTTGTATCGTTCTTGTTCAAGTCGCTCTATCTCATCTCGTTCTTGCTTGCTGCGACGCCCAACGGCCTTCGGTTTGTGTTTTAGGACTGGTTTGGGCGGCTCGCCACCAAGTGCAGACGGCGGCCGACTACTGGGCGCAATGCTGCCAGAAGGTGTGCGTTTGTTTAGGGATTGAAGCCGTTGCACTGAAGCTCGACTCGCAGGACCGGGCGCGCCAGTTGCCGCGGGAGCATTTTGCGCAGTGCCCCCGCCAGCGGGAGTTGGAGTAGTTGTATCAGTTCGAGCACCACGGCTGGCAGCCCCTCCACGGGCGCTTCCACGAGCGGCAGCTTTGGGAGGCATTGTCGTCGCTTTTCAGACAAGGCGCTGAATGCGGCTTGCTGGGCGGTTGGAAAAAAAAGTTCGTGTAGCAAGCCTGGTTTGCGCACCGTGTTAAATGTAGACTCAGCGGTGGAGTAATTGGGTTCTGTTTCCGGTGACACACAAGAATCCGACTGGAAATAAGCAAAGTACCGTTTCTTAGAAGAAATCCGAGCGTTTTGGGGTTCGAGAAAGTTGAGCTCTTCAAAAAAGTTGCGGGGCCAATCACACCGCCCTTGTCATGTGACTCATCCCGCCATGCCTATTACTGATCGACATGATCGTACTCTCTGGCTAGGCTACGATGAGACGACTAAATAATGAAATATTAAGACATTGAAATGCACAATAAAAATTGAAACCCTTCCATTGACTCCCTATTCAGAAGAGAAAATAAAGCAAGATCGGCACATCTTCTACAACTTGTCACCTTTTGATCTAGCCCTTCCTCGGAAGTATTATATACTTCCGCTACTAGTCCAGTACACCACACACATGAAACCGACATAGACAATGATAAATAACCCAGTAGCATTGATTCCGAATGAGCGAGTGGATGTGACAAGAAGCATATAGCCCGCAGAAACACTAAGACGCCGAAGGGACACACAACAACGACAGATCAACCGCTTGGCAGTGTATAATGAAGGGAGCATGGCTTGTAACCAGAGAAGGGAATGTGGAGTGAAAAGGGCAAATGATGGCAGTATGCTAGTATAAGGACCGTCTCTGGCGCTGGCCAGAAGAGTGCGAAAGGAGAGAGAGAGAGTGAGGGCAGATGAGATTGGCCCATAGTGAGGATGGCAAGATGAATGAGAGATTCCATGGTCACGAAGAAGATTGGAGGCGCGAAAGTTCGGCGTTTAGACACAGCGGGAGCAATCGCAACCTGCAGCTTCACTAGCGCTTCCGCTTCTTATTCTTGTCTGCTATAGACGAAGATACAGGAGGGGTCGTAGGCGTTAATGAAAACTCCTCCTCGTCTTCATCCACCTCTTCCCCGTTCTTTTTCACTGGGACACCCATATGGCGGCCATAACGCCCTTTGCGACCATTGCCCTCGTCTTCACTAAGACAGCCGTCAACTCCAATGCCGGCATCCTTGCAACGTCCACAGGGGCGCTGGCGGTCACAGCCCTTCTTGCTCTTGCGGCACCGCTGGCAGCGAGGCTTAGTGGAAAGGTCTTCCTCATCCGCACCGAGCTGGTGCTGGAAGTTGACCGAGCCCCCCGAGACCTTGCGGGAAGAAGCCGGGCTGAGAGGGGGAACAGGCGCAGCTGACTTCTCGGATGATTTGCGAGGAGCAGGCATAGCAATCTTACTTTTGTTCACTTTCGCAGGTGGAGGCTTCTGACTGCGAACCTTGAAAGATGTGGGGCGACTCTTCGGCTTCTTTGCCTTGGGTGCATACTCCTTGTAAAGGATATCCTCCTCAGCTTCACTTTTGATACCCTCATCTGCACCATCCGAGCTGTGGTCGCTGCTATCGGCGCTGGGAAGGATGTCATCCAAGCCCTTGAGGTGGCGCTTGATGGTTCCCGGCGGCAACATTGGGCTTGAGTCCAGCCTCTGGCGACGAGCTGGCAAGTCATCCTCGTCCTCGCTAAAGTCTTCCCCATCGCTAGTAGCACCAGTGGACGAGGCAGCATCGGCAGCACCACTGAAGGCATCATCCAATGTCGAGGCAGAGGTGCGTCCGTGAGAAAAATTGGACGCATCGCCCAAACGTATCAATTGCATCGCCACATCCTCATCGGAGATGCAGCTTGCAATAGTAGGGTCAGGTGTGGGCAATATACCTGAACCACTCACTCGGCTAGCTGAGTTGTTATAGGCTCCTGTATCGCGCATGCGATTTCCATGGTCTGGAACCACGGGAGTCGCATAAATCGTATTGCGCCCCGAGTGAGCACCATATTCGCTGTGACCATAGCTTTGCGGTGATGGAAGCGCATGTTGATAGCTATAAGGGCGTTGTGGTGGGCGTGCAAAAGGCGACCCTGCGCCTTCCTGACCAATAGATCGACGTTGGGGAGAGATGGAGGAGGTGGAGGTAGTGAGAGGCACTTGGGGAGGAACGAACAGCGGGAGCTCCTGAGGGAACATACTGATTAGTGACAGTTTTGGAATAAAAGCAAAGCACTCTTGCATGAGTCACTCACAGAGCTATCGAACTTGGGTCGTTTCCGACGACCATCTTGTAGTATATTCTCCATGCTGATATCAGAGCTAGCAAATAACTCATTGCGAGCCCTGCGAGCATAGGCGCTCTCAGTATCGCTATAGCCATCTTCATCATGGAAAGCTCCATGGGTGCTCGAGGCCCGGCTTTTGTTGCCCGCGCGGGAAGGAGGCTTGTGCTGAGAAGCGCTGCGGAGACTCCGGTTCGACGGAGAGGTGCTGCGCTTTCTCGCAAGCCGCGAGGCCGGCCGTGATGGCTGATCCAACACCGGCGCTATGCCATCTACCATCTGGAAAGGCTCTGCCAGGCTGGGCCGCTTGCGAGGCTCGACATTGAAACCGTTATAGAAGTGATCCCCGTATGGTTGAATGGGAATGACTCGCACGTATACAGTCCTGTTGTTCTTGAGATTCTCGTACCTTGCAATGAGGGTGGTCCCATGTTCGTCCTCGAAGCTAACCCCGCTAGCAGTACCGTCATATATTCCATAGAAATTTTTGACCGTCGTGACGATCGAATCCGTAGTATCATGGGGATAGATTTGAACGCGCATCGGAATACGGGCTCGGACCTTGGAGTTTTCATCGAGAAGCAACTCAAAGGCGATGTTCTTGGGTGCTGGGCCTTTAAGCGACAGGTCTCGTGCTACAGTGGCAGAGTCTGCCATACCCGGCTGCTCAACCAGGCTAGAGAGCCCTTCATGCTGAACCGCTTGCATATCAAAGTGTTCCAAATTGAGGAATACTCCACTGCTATACCAAAGACTGCATCAACCCACTGCTTGTGTGCCGTAGAGGGCGGGAATGTGATCCATGGCAAGACACAGAAGAAGGGCAGGTGTAGAGGGAAGAATCCATCAAACCTACCACAATTGTTGAATCCGAAAGATCAGGCTGGTGGATGGACCACCCCCGGGTCTTGATGTATAAAAACTGTCGGAGCAAAACCTTCGATGGAGGTGGGAGGGGAATCTGCAGTCGCAAGAGCCGGAAGCGACTCAATAGGATAAAGGTGGGCAACCTGAAGGGAAAACAGATCACATGAGTTAACACAATGGTATTCCAAGCGCTTGAATATACAATGAGGATGGATTTTGTCTTGGAAGATGATGGATGAATGTGTCGCTAACCGAGTCCGGCCGACCTTGGGAGCGGGCTTGGGGGGAAGCAAGCGAGATGACTCGGAAAAAGGATGGTTAGAGACTTGAACACACCTAATTCTACTCAAACAGAGTCCTCCAGGATCGCAGATATCTGGATTGTCCAAGATAGGGTGAAGGATCGAAGGATGGGTTCGGTCGAGGTCGAGAGGGGATTGCCGGTTCTACGAAGCGCTGAGGCTATGTCAGCGGTGGCATCTCCAGGATTGAAATGGGGTCAGGGGAGTGAAAAGTGAGATTGAACAAGAGTAGAGATACATACCCAATACTGTTGATAGCGCTGATGGCGATTTGTTCGAGGGGTTGTTGGATGGAAGGAAGAAGGTTGAGGTGGGTGCGTACGATGGTTTCACCTAAAGCGAGAAAACGGCCTGTCTGGGTCGGTGACATGGCGATTTGCGCTTCCGGCGCCCATCGCAGCCATCACATTCCATGGTATTAATGAATCTATATAAAATCTTCATTTGATTTGTAACTATTCTATGCATTGAAAAAAATAACTATGTGCGAAACCATCCCAATGCTGTATCTTTTCGCAAAGGCGCAAAAGCTGTCGCAAGCCGGATGCCATTGCGCCGAGTGACGGAGCACTTTGTCTAACCCCCCTTCTTGTGTATAATGTACGAAATTGAGAATATAATCCGATCTTTGAATCTTTAGGGATGAAGTCTAAGCGAGTGTGGGCTACTTGATACTGTTGAGGGGGGATGATGCAGCGCTTCACACAAAGCAGGTAGCTTAGGTACATATGTCGTTTCAAGTATCTAGGGTATCGAAGACTGAGGGCGCAAAATAAGATAAAGAAATAGCGCCCAATGGATTTTCTGGGCTTGCAGCTAGTTTCTAGCTTGACCACGTAGCAATCCATGTCCTTTTTTTTGGTCTGTTGTGGAGGTGTGCGCTTGGACAGAATTGACATTGTCCAGTCATTTTCCCACCACCGCCCTTGTCGCATTACCCATTTACTATGAGGATTGGAAAATGCTAGATATCGCGACACTTATAATGTGGTTTAAGATCAAAATCGCTAGGGTTTACGGTGATTGATAGATGTTTTGTTGATCCGCCTCTAGTACTAGACCTAAAGATTTATACTCTCTCAACCCGTGAAGGATATCGGAGAACCAAACCCATTTCAATCCCCGAGATAATCCCCTTTCATAATATCGCATGACTCTCCGGAGTTGTCTCGCATGATGCAACTTGGATTTACCCCTCCTCGGGACCTACGTAAGAAGGTTAAAAAAGGGAATCCCGCATCAAAGTGGGCATTCCTCTCTCCTTGAAACCTGACTACATAGTACAAAAGGGAGGTCGGAATATAGCAAATCCGTGAGTCCACAGTTTTATTGATTTCTCAAGAAAATAGCCGATGAAAAGGGGGGAACATTTCTGCTTGGTGGAGTCAGGCGGTGATGCTGAGAAGACTGGGCGCAAAAGGTCTGGATATTGAATTGACGATGTATATCAGACCCGAGAACGTGGGACTTGTCTATAATTTACTCCGAAATCTCCCATTTCCACTGACCTGAAACCCCACACCACCGAGCGAGACTGAAAAAAAGCTGATAATTGTCGCAATGATAGGAGTGGGTTCCGGTTGATCACAAAGCTGCCAAACAGCAACCGCTTGATTCCGGGTGTCCCACCCTTGTGACGGCGGTGTGGCTCTCACGTGGTTTCGTGTAGATAGCGCGTCAGATCTAGATCCTGACATAAAAGGGCGATTGCACCCGTAAATATGAATATATTTGAGATATTCCTGTCAAAACTTGTTGAATACTATTGGATATACCTGGAAGTAACTTTTTATATTCTTTCAACCTGTTTGAAGTGGGGTTTAATCGAAAATGATGTTCAACGGGCCTCGAAGGAGACGCGCCGATAAGAGTAATGACGTCAAATAAGTAGCAAACAGTGCAAACCCAAGACAAACAGAACAAACATTTAACCCTTTCTCAAACGTCCCGAGTCCCGATCTCGGGAAGTTCCAGATTTGAAACCTTGGAACCTTTGAAAGTCACTTTCTATATGTGCTTTACAGAGTAAATTATACTGCTCGCACTATAACATACAAGAACCGAGAAATGTACATATCCATTAATATACATATATAACTAGTAGGGATAGAATAAACTAGAAAGATCCAGGAAAACCCATAAGCTAGTTAGGAGTGGCGACTAAATTTTGTCTCGTGGATCTACCTGGTACGATAACCCTAACTCCAACCCTTTTGACTCAAACAACAGGAAATCGAGCACAAAAAATGGAGAAATAACTTTTTTTATAGTGTATGAATCAAAATATTCATTTCGAGTCCAGCAACCTTGATGAGACTGGCAATAATTTATATGTATGGAGTATGGAGTACATAGTAGGATGTATGTTGTACTAGTAGAAACAGTCTGCGCATTAGGAAGGTGTGCGCAACCGTAGCTTCCAATTTGGGAATAGCGTACATTGTTAACAAGGGCACCCTTCAGGAACAAGGGACACATCATTCTGAAGCTCCCTTCGTCGCAACTGTCACTTTGCTCTTATTCATTCATTAAACTCACCCAACTCACTCAGTTCTCCCAGGTTACTTGTACCTATCCACTAGGGCTGCCTAGGTAACGTTCAAGTGACGTGAGATTGACAAGCTACGCAAATCGGGAAGTAGCGACTGAGCGGGTCCTAACGACTGTTTATTTTGCCTGGATCGGCCAATCACACAGGGCAACTCCGCTCCCCCAACTCAGCAAAAAGTAAACAACTCCTCTCTACACAACTCCAACGTACCTTGACACCAAAGCTTGCAACTTCATTGTTTTTCAGTATGGATGCAAAGGTAAGTCGTTTTTGTGTTAATGCATTGATATCTACTTGATCCTTCTATTCCTACGCGTCAATCGCGTAAAACGCCACAGCGCGTTCATCACATCATGTATCTGCCCACTCTTGGTCTAGAGTTGTCTTATTCTTGGCCAAAATTGGACATACTGATATTAACTGAGATTATAGCCACAGCGTTTCCGAGCTGTTGGGGATGAGAATGTGCCCCCTCCGTCCTTGCACAGCCAGAATCACAAAGTCATTCATCAACGCAACAAGTCAAGCCCTGCTCTGAGTATGATGGCCCAGAACAATGCTGGTCGGCGTGCATTTGTCGATGTTAGCAACACCAAGGATGTGAACAGAGCTAGCCGTGATGACTCCGCTGTTGGTGGAAAGCCGGCCCTTGCGGAAGTCAAGGCTCCTGGACTGTCCCAGCCAGCCCAGCGCCGCATGACATTGTCAGGAACCAGGGGCACTGTTGAAAGTGTTGCTACGACAAAGCCTATGAACCCTGCAGGAAAGGCTCAATCGATGTACAAATCGAAGCGAAACAACGCCGTTTTTAAAGACCAATTACACACCGTCCCCGAAAAAACCACATCCAAGGAAGATTCAAAAGACACAGAAGTCAAGGCCAGCCGCAAAGGAGTGGAGACTGGACGTCAATCAAATAATACTGTGGTGGAGCCTTCTCATGGGCTGAATGTGGATAGTGTCAGCCTCGTTGAGTCCGATGCTACTATATCCGAGACAGACGATCCCAAAGACCATGCACATACCAAGGAGCCTGTATCAACAGTATCGGAGCCCGAGGAATGGGATGGAGAAGATACTGAGTACTATGTTGCACCAATCTACTCCTCTCGTGCGGACAACACCGACGGAGCCACTACTGTTATTTATCCACGCATGAGTAGTGTGACCACTCGTGAGATGCTCCGGGCGAAGCAAATTGTTGACAGTGAACAAACACCAGAAGACATCGAAGAGGAATTATTAGACACAACCATGGTTGCGGAGTATAGCGACGAGATCTTCCTTCATTTGAGGAAAAAAGAAGTACGCTTTGCTCTTCCAAATATCTGATATCAGTTTGAACTAATCAAGTCTTTAGATCGACATGCTTCCGGTTCCAGATTACATGGCCCGTCAAAACGAACTCCAGTGGTCGATGCGCTCGGTTCTGATGGACTGGCTCGTGCAGGTTCACCAGCGCTTCAATTTGCTCCCTGAAACTCTCTTCCTTACGGTCAACTACATCGACCGTTTCTTGTCGTACAAGGACGTTTCCATGGGAAAGTTACAGCTTGTTGGTGCGACCGCAATCTTTATCGCGGCAAAGTTCGAGGAGATTACAGCTCCCTCTGTCCAAGAAATTGTTTACATGGTTGACGGTGGATATTCCGTTGACGAGATCCTCAAGGCGGAACGGTTCATGCTTACCATTCTTCAATTCGAACTTGGATGGCCTGGTCCTATGAGTTTCCTTCGCCGTATCAGCAAGGCTGATGAATATGATCTTGAAACACGCACCGTTGCTAAGTACTTCCTTGAGCTGGCCATTATGGATGAGCGCTTTGTTTGTACTCCCCCCAGCTTTATTGCTGCTGGAGCCCATTGCTTGTCTCGTATGCTGCTTAACAAGGGCAACTGGGTATGTTTATCTCTCCATCTACTCTATTATAGCCTTGCTAACATTCAGCAATAGACACCGGCACACGCCTTCTACAGTGGTTACCTTTATTCCCAGCTGATCCCTGTGCTGACCACATTGATGGAATGCTGTGAAAACCCTCGGCGTCATCATGCAGCTATCTTCGAGAAATATTCGGATCGTCGTTTCAAGCGTGCCGCAATGTTTGTTGAAGCTGAGCTTGCCACGGACTTCGTTTTGCCCGAGGCCTCTGATCTCAATGATCCAGATCGCTTGGATGGCTATGCAAACTTCTAATCCCTTTACTAAAACTAATACCTCGGTGGTTCGTTACCATGCAAAGCTGGCTTTCATGATTGCTGGTACTTATCACCATCAACGATCTCTAAACTTACTACTCGTTTTTCTTTCGGTCAACATGGGCGGTTTTTGTTTTCTATTTTCGGAGTGAACCGGCGAATTGGTTCTCTTTTATGCATGGCGTTTGCGCATGGGTTCAATCTTTTCTTCCACCTTCTTTTTGTCATTTGTTTTCTTTCTGCTTTTGTTTTCTTCCCAGCTCTACTGGGCTGACGACGAGATGACGACTTGACGCCACCATTTTCCGAACATGGGAGTGAATGATCGGAAGGCGTTCATGATGATCTGTTTCTCGCCGGGCGTTCTCACTGTTTTTTTTCCTTCTTCTTGCTTTCTGGGGAAACGGGTTAGTGGTGGTAGCTGGGTTACCGTGGATACACTCTCTATCTACACAAGTCACATGACTGGCTCTGCGCCATCCTCTGCATGTTCTACAGTTGTACTAGTAGTAGTCAAATATGACCGTGATATTTCTAACTAGCCTCCCATAATTTCTAGAGCTACCTAGATAGTGACTACTGCTTCCATGTTTATGGACTCTATTGTCATGATACCCATTGTCTGTTCTTATGGTCTCTATTCTTGTTGCATCCTTTATTCTTGTAGTATCTATCCTCGTTGTACAGTGTACTCATTCTCTTAGGCTTGGTTATATCTTTCAGATGAAGTCAAGTCTTGGAATACTGTATTTTGCCAACCTCCTGCCACAATATAACAATGATAAAACGTCTATATGAATCATCAATTAATGTGTGATTACAAAATATCAATAGAACCTCCAGGGCTGCATCATACCAAAATCTGTTTGCCCTGTAGGTAGACTTTGATCATCATCAAATAGCATGAACTGAGGTATTAGGATAGACATGTGGAAAAGAACTCAACTGCGAGATAAATAACTCCCAATCCCACAAGTGAAACTCGCGAAACATATAGCATCCACCTCCCTCTCTCACTATGATCTGTTCACATTCTGCTCCTGTAACCAGTTTTCGAGGCTGAAGCTGCCATCCTGCAACTCTTTGGGGTTTGCATTCCACTCAAAAGCAACACCTTCAACTTCCTCTTCCCCGGTATCCAGAAAATCAATGTAGATAGGCCCCAGCTTATATTTATCCGACCCATAGGCAACAAGCCGATCCCAACTTTCCCGCGAAAGGATTTTGCAAGCCAAGCCATCAACTGGATGAAAGGCGTCATCGACAAGGGCAGGGTATTGCCCCCAAAGCTTGATTTGGTAGCCTATAACCCTAGCCGGCCGCATATGTGGAGGCTCGGACAGTTGTAGGACTCTAGCAAGAGTGGGTGGATCCATCAGTGTTCCATAGAAGAAGAAGTAAACCTCCCTAAAAGGGGCGGGTGGCCAGCTTGGGTCGGCAGGTTCGGAAGAAGTTGTTGGATGTAATTTTGCACCTCCCGAGGCGTCGTGAAGAAGGAACTTGCAAGCCATAGGGGACGGCCAGGGAAGCGGTCTTTGGTTCTCACTCATCCTTAGGGCTGAAAACACTCAGAATGCGTTTGTCTGTCTTCCTATCATACCCTAGAAGGAAACTGAAGTTGAATGAACTGGTTGCTGCTTGAGTAAACTGGAGTACTGGGGTTGGGGCTGGCTATCTCACCGAAACTGCGAAGGTCGTGATATTGAATGCGCAGGATATCTGGACGGACCTCTAAACTGATTTGAGAGCGCAGTGAACTTCCAAGGTTACTGACGATGTACTGTAATCATCAATGAAGTTAGGTTTGGTCACATGCCCCTGCTACCCATGGTCCGCTCTACAGCACATCGAGCGACTATATACTGCACAAGAGTAGTCGCTCAAGTATGCCTCTATCGTTGGCAGACGTGAGACTTTAATGATCTGATTTATCTGGCTCATAATATTGGGACGTTGTAAGCAAGATATCATTCGAATAGATATTCTTCGTCCTCGGTGTTATAGCTAGAGGGAGCCTTAGCTATGTATAGAAATGCCGCCAGGGATGGGAATGATAGCACAAGGTATACTCTACTATGTACAATATACGAAGACACCATGAAGCCTAAACTGTACAGACGACTTTTAGATGTATATAATGGTTACCCGTGATATCTCTCGTAAATCATTTCGATTGTTTCCCCATCTAAGATGACAAATGCGCTGTAGAAATTTTCAACCCAAACATCTGCTTATGCAGATCACTGATCAAGTCCATTAAACTCAATCAACTTCTTAACAGCCTCGATCACTCTATCGCCAAGACTACTGCCATCAGATACAACTGTAGGATTATCAAAGCGCTCCGTAAGAGCCTCGTCCAGCATGGTACGAAGCCGCGAAACAAGCACGCCGATCCGGGCCCAGCCGCGTAGACGGAGCCAGCCGTCTACGACTAGTCCACGACCCACAGTGTCGAGTTCTATAGAGCCACAGAAGAGAAGTAGGGAGTATGCGTTGAAAGCTGCAAGTAAGAAAAAAAGAGTGTTAGAAGCTAATATTTCGAGGGATAGAAGAGAAGTAACTTACGGGTGAGGTCGCGGATGAAGACCTTGCTGGTAGCCATCTTGGTAAAGTAGCTGAGATACGCCGCGGCGCTGGGGTAGCTAGCCGAAGAGAAGAGGATGGAGCTGGGGTGAATGAAGACACGACCGTTTTCCTGATTGAAGTACTTGATAGTGCGAGCATCCGGATCTACCTCAACGGTACCAGAAACCGAGCTGGCGAATTTCTTATCCGGGAACGAGATCTGCGCGACCTGTGGCTGGAAGGCTCCAGCAACAAGGGCGCGGATCAAGTTACGATTGGCTGCATTACGGTTCCAGGCTGAATCCGACGAGTCGGAATACTGGATCGGCAGAATGCCTGCATCTTTGAGGGAGGTGATGAACTGCGCACGGTTGGAGGAGATATCGCGCAGCGTCTGGTGGGAAAGGAAGTTGTCGGCACACCATGACTGTGTGCCCCAGAAGCCACCTTGAGCACTGCTTCGCTCCGACCAGGCCTGGTATGCTGAGAGGTCGGTAAGGAGGTCGCCGTCGCCCTGGCGAGAGAAACTTGCTTTGGCGGCGTTTGCTTCCTCACGCTTATCGCGTGGTGAGACGAAGGGACTCTTGACTGTTAGCATGGCTGCGATTGTGAGACAGGGTTCCATGCATCCGAAGATGGAACCGTAGATCATGAGCTTGGCGCAGCGGAGATCTGCGGGAATCATGGAGAGGTAGCGGCCCAGAGCTGTAAGTCTGTCGTGGTCTAGAGCACCTACACGATGCAGGAAGTTCAGTGCACCTTCGACGGCTATACTTTCTGGCGGGGTGATGGTGTTGGCTAGGAAGGAGGCGACGTCATCAATGCCTTTCATGGATTTGACAGATAGACAGAGCTGCTCCAGGGGAACACGGCGGATTTCTGGATCTGGTCGTGGGGCCATGTTTGATTCGGCTTTGCGGGTGTAAAGCTTATAGCAGATACCTGCGCGGACACGGCCTGCTCGGCCACGACGCTGTTTGCAGGCGGCCTGCGATGCCCATACTTCTTGGAGACGGACCATGTTGTCCTTGGGGTCGTAGCTTGTTTCCTTGACTCGACCGGTGTCAATGACCGCAACAACATCCTCGATTGTGATCGAGGTTTCAGCAACGTTTGTAGCGGCAATAACCTTTCTCTTCCCCCTTGGTGGACTCTGGAATACTCGTCGTTGTTCGGTTGAGAGCAAGGAGGCATGCAATGGCAGAGGATGCATGTTGGGGATTCTCTTGATGGCGTTCAGACAACGATCAATTTCTAAAGTACCAGGAAGGAAGATCAAGATGCCTCCTGGCTGGTCTCCCAGCTGAGCATCGATATATTCGACAGTTGCTGCGATCAAATCGTAATTGATTCCCATACCCAAGCTCCGCAGGGCTTTTCCAAGGGATTCTTCACCCCGAGGGGATTCTTCCTCATCTTCGTAGCCCTCGGCAAGTTCTGGCGCAAATGATGTGTACCGGATAACATCATCCAAGTAGTAGTCTTCAACAGGGAATGTTCGACCGGGAATGTTCACCAGTCCAACAGATCTCTGACTTCCAAAGTATCGCATGAAGATGCCGGCATCGAGGGTGGCACTCATAAGAATAACTTTCAGGTCCTTGCGGTAATTTAGAACATCCCTCAACAGCGCCAATAAGAAGTCTGTATCCAGACTTCGCTCATGGACCTCATCGACTACCACGTGCGATACATCTGCGAGGGAGCTTGCGACGTTGCCATCCGCATCGCCACCGGATTGGATCCGGCGCAGCAAGACACCAGTAGTCACAAAAGTAATCTTTGTTGAACCAGGCTTGGCTTTCGACTCGCCTCGGATCACATATCCGACTTCCTCACCGACTACTGCGCATCGCTCATCGCTGACTCTGTCGGCAAGACCCAGGGCTGAGATTCGTCGTGGCTGCGTGCAGATAATGTTGGCAGCGCCTCCCAGTCCTCGTTGGATCATGTCGTCCAGCACAAACTGTACGGACTGTGTACTTTTACCACTACCAGTCTCACCCGAGATGATAGTCACTTGGTTTGAGTTGACAGAGTGGATGATTTCATGTTGGATGTTCCATGCAGGAAGTGCTTTTCTTTTCTGGGTCATCTCGATCTGCGGCGCAGTATCTTGTTTAGCCTCCCAGGCATCTCGGATCGCCAAGCTTCGCGGAGAGTCGACGTTCCAGTCAATGCCTCTACGATTCTTACGACCCGAACGCATAGGAATTTCGTGAGTCTCAGCTGCCGACGAAGCCGTCACAGAGGATATCTCTCGCAATTTACCCGGGTTCTCCATGATGCTCGGCAGGTTGACCTCTAGCCAATCCATAATGTTGAAAATCATAGATTCACCCGTAAAGTTTTCCTCGGCATACTGCATTGCCCGACGGATTGCACTAAGACGTATGTAAGCCGGGACGCCCTTAGCCTGAATTGATATAATGGGAGGCGTTGTTGGATAATGGGCGGACGGCTTTTGGAAGCGGAAAATTGTGTTTGGTGGAATTTCGGGTGCCTCGCTATTGATCTCGCAGACTTTGGCTGATATGCGGTGATAACGTTCTCCAAAGATGGCCTCCAGCGTAGTCGCCTCTTCTGTCCAAGCTTCTTCGTCTTCATCAGCGACTGATGGGGCCGAGAATTGGGTTCCATGTACCAAGGTGCCTTGCAAATGCTCTGCAGCCGCCAATTCATCGCCGCCCTTGCTATCCAAGATTTGCGAGCACATGTCGGCCGGATAGCCAACAGATGCCAGCCTTTTGATTTTGCCCTCACGAGCGAGGTCTCCAGAACCAAGACTGACTCCGGCTGAATATCCTTCTGGCAGAGACCATCGTGGGAGGTCATCATCGGGAACATAGATTAAAAGCCACTCCAAGACCTCTTCGCGGTCTTTACATTCCGCTGTAGCTTCTTCCACATGGCTGCGACGGAAACCCAAGCCGGTGAATTCGTCCGCAATGGCTTTCTTTTGGTTTTCTGGGATCTTCACGCCATATGGGTTCCAAACTGTATGTTGCCGCAAAAGGCCTTCGATATCTCGTCGAATCCGTGTGCCCATATCCACCTTGGGTGCTTGAGACCAAATACGTTTGCTCCTGGCATCCCCATTTCCCAGCCCCAATTCCGCATTTGAAGCCTTCTCCTTTGCCTGGGCTTTTTCGCGATCTGCTCGCTTCTTTGCTAAGTCGGCGGCCGCGCTCTCTCTCTCTTGCTTGGCTAGGAATGGATCTGCCTCGTACATCCAGCCCTTGCCTTCTCGAGTCTCTGCTGCTTTAATTTCTGTAAAGTCCTCTTTCCATAATTTCTTGTATGTTGGAGGCAGCATCATATGAATATTGCGCATGTTGCATACTCGGAACAGAGCAAACGCTGCACTGAAATGGCGCGCTTCGAGGGCTGTTGGCTGCCCAGCAAGCTGCTTATGGGAGGGAGGGAGCTTAATTGATGGGATCACAATCAATTCCTTGGTCTTGGGATCTATCTTCTTCATCGTTACAGACGACACAAAGCCATCGGCCGTTTTAATCTGCAATTGGCGCAATCAATCAGCGTCTGGTTTGGTATGTGTTTGTAGACATGCGAGTGACATCCATGGATGGGGAGATTTGATTACCATGCTGTACTCAGGCTTTTCCCATTTTTGCTTCTGACAATGCTCTGCCAACATATTGACCGGTAGCTTCCCTGTCCATGATGCGCCACCAATGACATCCTTCACGGTCGGTTTCTTGGGCTCCTCCGGCACTTGTTTCTTCGCCTCACCGGCTTTCTCTGCGACGGCCTTAGCTTGCTTCGTACCCGGCTTGGGGCCACCCTTGCCATCGCCCTTCTTCTTGGGTGGCATTTTGTGTGTGGTGAGTGTTGGCGCAAAAGATAACTTTTGGAGCCTCAGGCAAAAGAGCGACCCGCACTAAACCGTTTTGAGATTGCGGGGAGTATACGGAGGAGTGTAGTGACCACGGGAGACTTAACTCCCAACAGGCGCAGTGTTACTCGGTCGACCAATGCGAGATTTGAATTTTGTTGCTCGAAGGCAATGCTATAGCTAATATCTACTGTATGACCGCGAGTCAAACTTCTACACTAACCATCATGCCCGGAGAGCAGCACTCTGATCCGAGCAAGGGTGATCCAAAGGAGCAAACTAGGACATCGGAAAAGAGAAACGCCTGTAAAGATACCCAGAAGCTTGTCAACTACCTAACTGACATACGGTTTGACAGTTACAGAGCTCCTGGCTCCCAAAAGCAAGCAACACAAGCAGACTAAAACCCCGTCTGATCGCAATGCGGCGAAGGGCAAGACTGCGTTTGGTGTTCGCGACGGACTAGGTGCCTACATCGTAAAGCCTGAGACATACGCCCCCGATGTCGTAGTTTACCACAATGACGACTTTGTGGCGATCCACGACATGTTCCCAAAGTCATCGCTACACCTCCTCCTTCTCCCCCGTGACCAGACCAAAACGCGCATGCATCCATTCGATGTGTTCGAGGACGCCGAGTTTCTAGCAAAAGTCAAGGCCGAAACTCAAACACTCCGCAAGTTGGCAGCTGGCGAGCTGCGACGCACATATGGGAAGGACTCTGCGCAGGAGCAGGCGAGACAGGCGGCGCTGAGTGCTGACCCGCCGCCCGACGAGCTACCACAGGGCCGGGATTGGGAACAGGAAATCGTGGTCGGGGTGCATGCTGTGCCATCCATGAATCATTTGCATGTTCATGTGCTATCGGTGGATAGGTATAGCGAGCGCTTGAAGCATCGGAAACACTACAATAGCTTTTCGACACCATTCTTCGTGCCAATCGAGGATTTCCCGCTGGCGGAAGATGATGTGCGACGGAATCCGACGAAAGAAGGATATCTAAAGCGAGATTTTACTTGCTGGCGCTGTGGCAGGGGTTTTGGGAATCGGTTTGCGGAATTGAAGCAACACCTGGAGCAGGAGTTTAGAGAATGGAAGAAACTGTGAGCTAGCGATGCGTCCTTGCGAAGATATACCAGTACTGCCAAAACAGGCACAGCATGGTATACATTGGATTGAACTATCCAAAAGTGATCCTGTTTGGTATCTGTGGAAGCTAAACTGGGCCAAAATCTTCTATTTGGTAGATATACATGTCTCCTGCGACAAGCAGTAGGGGGTGGTGCATTTCCAGCATTTACCCAATGCTGCCCTCACACTAGACAAAAAAAACCCTGACAATGATATACATTGAACAGAATTGCCTGCTTCCTCCATCCACAATAGCTGTCGCGTGTGCATTTACGCACGGGCCTTAGAGCGGCCCTTGACCTTGCGGGCCTCGGGACGGTTGATGTGGTGAGAGGGAATCCAATCAGCGTTGTAGGCGCTGGCAGAAGAAACCGCGGCGCCGCTGTCAGTCTCTTCGGTAACCGGGGTCTCAACGCGCTTGGAGCTACCCTGGGTGCGCTTCTCGCTGGTCTTTCCGGACTTGCGTTTCTGGGGGAAGTAGGGAGCGACCCAAACGGTGTAGAAGAAGTAACCAGTGCCAGAGACACAGGCCAGCAGGAAGAAGTAGAGGAAGATGCTGAGTGTAATTGTTAGTTCTTGTGTCATCACACGACCAAGGTAAAGGGGGTCCTACATCTGGGGGTCGAAGATGCTGGTATCCGCCTCCACGATGCTAACGGTGCCATTGTGGGCAACGATAGGAACCAAGCGGCCCTCGCTGTCCGAAATAATGGCGGACAGAGTCATCTGGAGATCCTGGGGGTGCATCTCAGTGGCGAAGCTGTAGCTGATTGTCTCCTTTTCGCCAGCGGGGACCTCGATGGCGTAGCGAGTAGCAGTCAGGTTGCGGACAACCTGGGTCTGATCATCGGGGTTCCGAAGGCTACCGCCGACAAAGTTCACCGTGATGGGGTTTGGCTCATCGTTGGAGATGGCGATCAGCGCCTGGGTAGGGTGACCGTTGACAAGCTTGATACCAAAGATCTCGGAAGCAGGGAAAGAGGCATGTGCTGAGACAGCCAGAGTGGGAACCTCTGCTTCAGCATTCTCAGCATCCTACAAATCCACCAAACAATTAGTCAATTGAGTCATGCGACGTGGTTTCCGAGATAAATAAAGACGAAAAACATACAGCAGCAAAGCCGGTGCCAACGAAGGCCTGAAGAGAAAGTAGAGCCAGAGAGAGGAAACCAAAGCGAGTCATCTTGAAACCGGGGGGGGGGGGGAAAGAAAGAGAAAGAGAAACAGAAACGTAGAGAGGTCAATGTCAAGATGAGGTGAAGGGGAATATTTGGCTCCACGTATGCAAAACCGGGGGGCTGACTCAGCCAGATAACACCCGCGGTCTTAGATTGATTTTTTTTATTTGAAGAAGGACGACGACTATAAACTCTTTCCCTATATCAATTAATTTAATGAAGTGAAGTGGTAATCATTGGTTACTACAGTGATTCGAACACTTTACGCGCTTTGTAGATTGTCACCTCCTGCAAGCGCCTGCCAACGGGAATTTCCCTGTTCGCTTTGATCAGACTTGAAACTTGCTTCTCTCCCTTCTTTCTTTCTTCCTTATCTTCTGTCGCATTCATCCTCTTCTCAATTCCAACCATTTTCAGATCTTCAACGATAACTCATCAATCTACAAAAATGGCGACCCAAGCTTATTTAGAGCGCTATCGTCAGCTAAGTGCTCTTGACCAACAGAAGAATGACTTCATTGAGGTACCAACAATTCCTCCCTTGGTCCTAATTCATTCTAACAAGACTTTTGATAGGAACTCCTTCAACGTGTCACCGCCCTAGAGAATTCCTTCCAACAAGAAAAACTCGACCATGAACGCGAAACCCGGTTCAATCGTGAGGTTCAGGTCCATGAAATGGAGCTGATGGACCAGATATCAGTTGTCAAGAAAATGATGGTGAGCACAGCTGTGGACACGTTGTATAAGCCCCGGGTTAACACATCTTTCACTCCCTCAGGACCGCGAACCATTCGTCGTATTGCTTTTAGACGGCGAGGGGATTATATTCAAGGACGAATTTCTGCAACTAGGAGAACAGGGTGGACGCAATGCGGCTAAGCAGCTCTGGAAATCTCTCCAGGGCTATGTGACGACAATCCTTTCCACGATCACCGAGCCGAAGATAATGACCAAGATCTATCTTAATGTGAAGGGACTTATGGAGACTTACATCCGAGGGGGAATCTCCCTAGAGGCTTCCACAATCAGTGAATTTATTCGTGGATTCAATGAGAGTGCATCATTCTTCGAAATTGTGGATGTTGGAACTGGCAAAAACAAAGCGCATGATAAAATCAAGGGTATGTGGTACAGCCTGACATAGCAGAACCCGTTGCTGATTCGCTCCCTCCCCAGAGGCATTCAAGCTTTACTTATACAACTGCCATTGTCATCAACTCTTCCTGGGCTGTCCCTCCAATGAAGAATATGCTCGATCATTGACAGAACTCATTTCTGGTGCGAATTATAAGGGCCGAGTCTCGCTGGTTGAGGGTCTTCCACTCGAGAAGGAATTTGATTATTTCCGAGAGCAGGACTATCGAATCACCCAGTTCCCAGATGTTTTCCGCACCACAAAGATTGCTCCAATTACATTGTCCGCACCGAGTGCAGCATCTTGGGCTGCTCCCTGGAAAAGCGCACTCCCTTCGCGGACTTTGCTCACACCTTCACCAACCCAGCAGTTCCAAACACCTGCTCCTCTGTCACGAACCTCTACCAGCACTAGTGTGTCGAATCTGGGTGCCCCATTGGCCCCAGTGACAAATAAACCCGAATCTTCTGATTTCCAGATTGTTCGGTCCAAGGTGGCTGGCACAACCCCCCCAAAGACGGTGGAGCGGAATAAGTATGGCCAGCGCGTTGATCGACTCGACTTCAAGAGCATTCCTCGCGATGACCTTAACAAACTGAAGAAGCTTAAGCTTTGCAATTATCATTTCTTGCTCGGTGAATGCCCTAATGAAGAGAATTGCTATCATGACCATGATCGCAAATTGTCCCGCCAAGACCTGCACATTCTGTCTGCCATTGCCCGCATGACACCCTGTCGCTTTGGTTTAGAATGCGATGACGTCGAGTGTATCTATGGTCACCGTTGCCCTCAGAGCGAGCCTGGTAAAAAGACTTGTTTCCGGGGGGATAGCTGCCGCTTTGAGCCCGTGGCGCATGGTATCGACACGAACATTGTCAAAGTTACAAAAATTTGAGTGGCCATATCGCAATCATATGCTAACCTCAGGCGATCCGAACCTTTCGTACTTGCCATGAGGTCCTAAAATATTGTCTATTGAGTTCGGCGTGACCGGGTTTGAAGTTTCACGGGAAAAGTCACAGCACCCATGACATTATCAGAATTTCGATCATTCGGGAGTTATGGACGGTGCATGGGAGCAGGCTTGCTATACAATCATTGAGAATTTAACGTTGTTTTTTTCTTTTCCATGCGGGTGAAAAAGACGGTTCAGGCGCAAAAGACTCAACTATCTATCTATTGATTTGAAGTTTTAAATTGTATTAGTATAAAGGATCAATCCACACAATATTTATTTAGGGGGTATTTGAATTAATAGTGTTACAAGACTTGAACGTTGTACAATTCATGTGTGGATAGTCGTGCCGAACATGGCAAACCGTCTCTCCCACCCAAAACAGCCAGGGTGGGTGCACACCTCGCCGTCAACGTCCATGATATTGGGGTCTTTGCTATGGGTGCACTGAACGCCGTATTCCTTGATGCAGCACTCAAATGGGCACGACTTCACTGGCCCCCAATTCTGTTGACCAGAAGCCATGGCTTTCGACTTTTCCTCTTCGAGATTGCCCCATAGGAGGAAAAGCTTCTCTTTTATCGCTGCCAATCTCCGCGGGTTGTGATGGAGGTTGAATGCATTATCGTCAAGAAGACAATCACCATCTTGACCGTATACATAGATCTTCATCACTTCTCGAGGCTGTTTGGAAGGTCTAGGCTCGACCCCCTCCACAAGCAGACAGAACCGCCATTCCCAGCCAAATTCAGGCTCGATAGCGCCTTTTTGATTGCTGAACAAGGGAGCGCTAGCGGTTTGAACTGCAAAGTCTTCTACCCTTGGGGGAAAGAAGTCGATCACTCGAACTTGAGAGTGATAATTGACATTTTGGAAGGGAAGCTGGTAGACAATGCCTCCCGGAGCATTGTTTATGTGGGTTTCTGCCAATAGAATCTTCTCGAGGGGGAGAGCAGGCACTGTGTAATTTCTTGTTTTGACTAAACCTTTATCAGCCAATATGCTTCTCGTAGGCAGATAATTGACTCACCATGTTGATTCAACTTGATTCGTGATGCTGCTGGCATGGTCAGTTGGCCTTCTTCTTTCTGTGCCTCCTTTTTTTGCTCGACTTTCTTGTTCCGTTTTTTGGCTTTTTTGGTATCTGTTTTCGGTTCACCGTGGATCTTCCAATACTCTGCCCGACGGTTCATCAATTCTTGTACACGCTCGTCAGCGTCACTATCCACCTTCCGGAGATGGATTTTCTCCGGGTATTTTCTGTCCTCATGAACTGCAGCTTCCAAGCCACCACGGCCTTCCTTGATACGAGCATAGGTCAATAGAGTGATGTCACCTGGCTTGATGTGTTCTCGGGCATAGGTGGCATGCGGTTCCCATAAAGTTACTTGGATGGTCAATTTGCCCCATGGACCTGGCCAGTTCTTTTTCTTTTGTATGTAATTAAAACGGTCGCCCTCAGGGCCTGATTCATCGTCTTCTTCTCCGGGTTTCTTGTAGTTGACAAGCTCCTCATTCTCAGTGAAATCAGTCAAGTATAGTAGACATTTCTCACTGTCATAAGTATTGAGGTTCACAACTTGTCCAAGTAACTGACACAACTTGCCAACCTTTGCGGACTGAATATGGACATAAGGTAGCCCTCCAGATTTTGGGGTTGAATTAGGAATCAGAACATGAGAAAACTGCTGGAAGGCGGGTACACTGTACGACGTGGATTGTCGCACAGTGGTTCCTTTGGTAGATACGAAATCCAGGAGCGATTGTGCCTGGTCCTTTTCCTTTAAACTCGGCTCGAACGGAATAGGACCACTGGTGATAAACGGGCTGGAACCTAAACTTGGCTCTGGTCGGAAAATAACCCATGATACATTGGAATTCTGAGAAACAACCCCTGTTGGCTTGTTCTGGTAAATTGACACCTGAATCGTATCAGTTTATCATGCTGCTGCATTCATGTAAATCCACTCACCCGGATATTTCGTAGTAGAACTACATCTTTGAGCTTAACATTGGGAATATGGCTCTCATCGTCATTGAAATATTTGACTTTGAGGCCACCTGCCCAGGTTGGTGCATCAAAATCAGAGTCTTTGATAGTGAATGTGATGCATGCCGACGAGCCTCTGGTCCGAAAGAGTGGTAGAGTATCAACTACCACTCCCAAGATATTGAAATTCCCCTGTGAAGAGCAGGCAGTGGTAATATCCACTAGATCACCTGAATCCATGTCTTTCATTGATGGGAAGAGCTTGTGTCAAACGTGCTGTAAACTCCCGATGCGATATCATAAACTAGCTCAAAAAATATGTACGTTTTTTTCGATGTACATCCATAACAGAGCAATTGCTGTGAATAAGCATGAAAGAAGGATAATTCCAAAAGCTTGAAGAGGAAGAGCTTCTTGCCAAAACCCGTCGATGTAAATAAAATGAGCAATCACGTGATAGTATCGTTTCCCCTCCCACAGAAGTCTTCTCCCCCCACATCAGATCCCTCTCTCTCTTCCATCTTCCTACTCTCCTTCCATCCCCCAGCGCGCCCACTCAACACAACCTACTACATCATCGATCCGGCGCGCTTACTCTTCTTCTTTACATATTCATCATGGCGGAACGCTATATTCCCGAACATCGCCGCACGCAGTTCAAGGCCAAGAACCAGTTCAAGCCCGATGAGCTCCGCCGCCGCCGTGAAGAACAGCAGGTCGAGATTCGCAAGGCCAAGCGTGACGAAAACCTAGCCAAGAGACGTGGTATCCAAACCCAGGATGGTAGAATCGGTGTTGGTGGCATGGCTGCCGCCACTGAGAGTGATGATGAGGCCAGTGCTATTGAGAGTGAGGTAAGTTTGGGAATTCTCCTTTGATCCTTTTTGGATTTGTTTCTTTCTATGTTCCATTTGAATTTATACGGGCTCATGATGTGGTTGCCACCATATGGGCTCTTTTGAGATTTCTTTGTTTTTATGATGCGATCATCAACAAGGAATTTTTTTCACCGCCCTGTTGCCATGGCCCACGAAGCCCCTCCAAGATCTTTGAGCCCGCGCCCCACTGCAACGAAAAAAAAACATTGTGAAAAATTACCAAGCTAACGTAATGTATGATTTAGCTCAACGTCGAGCTTCCCCAGATGGTGAAGGGAGTTTTCTCCGACCAGGTTGAGGAACAAATTCAGGCCACCACTAAGTTCCGCAAATTGCTTTCCAAGGAGCGCAACCCTCCTATCGAGCGTGTTATCGAGACCGGTGTCGTTGCCCGTTTTGTCGAGTTCCTCCGCTCGCCTCACACTCTGGTTCAGTTTGAGTCTGCCTGGGCTTTGACCAACATTGCCTCCGGTTCCGCCCAACAGACCCAGGTCGTCATTGAAGCTGGTGCCGTCCCCATCTTCGTTGAGTTGCTTAGCAGCCCTGAGCCCGATGTTCGCGAACAGGCCGTGTGGGCCCTCGGAAATATTGCTGGTGATAGCCCTCACTGCCGTGACTTTGTTCTGGGTGCCGGTGCTCTGCGCCCGCTTCTGAACCTCATCAACGATGGTCGTAAGCTGAGCATGCTCCGCAACGCTACCTGGACTCTTAGCAACTTCTGCCGTGGCAAGACTCCCCAGCCTGACTGGAACACTATTGCCCCTGCCCTTCCCGTCCTTGCCAAGCTCATCTACATGCTGGATGATGAGGTCCTGATTGACGCTTGCTGGGCTATTTCTTATTTGTCCGATGGTGCCAACGACAAGATTCAGGCCGTCATTGAGGCCGGTATTCCCCGTCGCCTGGTGGAGCTCCTTATGCACGCTTCTACCTCTGTCCAGACCCCCGCCCTCCGTTCCGTGGGTAACATCGTCACCGGCGATGACGTCCAGACCCAGGTGATCATCAATTGTGGCTCTCTTCCTGCTCTGCTCTCCCTCCTGAGCTCCACCAAGGATGGTATCCGCAAGGAAGCTTGCTGGACTATCTCCAATGTCACTGCTGGTAACTCTAGCCAGATCCAGGCAGTCATTGACGCTGGCATTATTGCTCCCCTTATCAACCTGCTTGCCAACGGTGACTTCAAGACTCGCAAGGAGGCCTGCTGGGCTATCTCCAACGCCACTTCCGGTGGTCTCCAGAAGCCCGATCAGATCCGCTACCTTGTTTCCCAGGGCTGCATCAAGCCCCTGTGCGATCTCCTGGCCTGCCCTGACAACAAGATTATCCAGGTTGCTCTCGATGGTCTTGAGAACATCCTCAAGGTTGGAGATATGGACAAGGAGGCTGGCCAGCCCGGTGAGGCTCGTGTCAACCGCTATGCTCTCTTCATCGAAGAGGCCGGTGGCATGGAGAAGATCCACGATTGCCAGAACAACGCCAACGAGGAGATTTACATGAAGGCCTACAACATCATCGAGAAGTACTTCTCTGACGAGGACGAGGCTGGTGGTGACATCGAGGAGCTTGCTCCCCAACAGACCCAGACCGGATTCTCTCTCGGCACTGGCCAGCAGCAACCTGGTGGCTTCAACTTCGGCAACGGTGGTGATACCATGGATATGTAAAGACTTGTCTTTTCACCATGCACTATCCCCTCTTTGTATGTTCTTCTTTTCTTTTCAAAACCAAACGTCGAAGCTGCGCCCAGCGGATCCTCGCATGGGCGGGGCACCACTGGCTACCGAGAGACCAGGTTGCTTGCATACAACCTCGACACCTCTCGTGCGCTTCGACCAAACTACTTCCCGGTCTGGCGTTGCGTCTGAACAGTTTCTGGTGCTCATTTGATTCCCTCATCTTCTCTTGTCACGAATTTCACTTCCCCCTTCTTCTTTTTTTGATTTCACGATAAACAAGATTCACCATCATGTATCCCCTCCCCCTACCCCTTTAGCATCCTCATACACAGGCGCTTTTGTTTGCAGGATCGGTTTTCTCTCTCCAGTTACGTTAATGTCCCCTGACTATGGTGTTCCCTGATGGGGCATTGGTCTCCTGCGCGAGAACTTCCTCGCTGGCAACAGTGGTGTGATGGCACATTTTGTTCGTACACCGCTCATAATCTGCTCAAATCATGGCTCTGAAAATGTTACTGTGCTATTCTCGTGGTACACTTCGAAGTTCGCCAGGAAAAATGCCAAATTTCATTCGATCAATCTGATCTTCCTGTTGTATCCCAGTAATATTCGTATCTTCTCTACATTTAGACAATTTGTATTTGTGGTTTTTCACTCTGTAAAGAGGATACGAACTGATTATTAGACTTGCAACCTTTTGGTGTTGAAACATAAGAAGACGCAAGGCAGTGAAGGATGAAATACATTCAAATTCTATGCACTAATGATAGCAGATCAGACCCAGTTATGTCCTACTATACTACAATTCCATATCAAGATTTCAAAAATTACAGCAAAAACCAGAGGGGAATAGATTGTGGTCAGGCCAGCAAAGTAGCAGCAAAGGAAAGATCAAGAGAAGTGTATAAGATACAGGTTGTAAAGGGGTCCATATCCACGCAAATGAGAGCAAAGAAGAGAGATACAGTTAATTCAAGCCATAATCCATAAAAGAGGGAAAAGAAAGTAGAGGGAGTAAAAAAAGGAACAAGAAAAGAAAGAAACAAGCAATGAAACAACAGCCAAAAAAAAAAAGATTATTTTGTTCAGGCACACGTTAACGTCAAATAAGACAAACTAGATCAGTCACCCATCACCTCATCCTCATCACCCTCAGGTGCAGGAGTAAGTTCCTCGTCTTCGTCCCCATTTTCATGTTCAACATCCCCCTCGACAAGTCCCCGCGCACGCAGATCCTCATCATCATCTTCCTCAATAGGCTCAGGATGGTCATCCTCATCGTCATCAATATGCTCAGCAGACTTGAAGCCCTTGGCAGGAGAAGCAGCAGACTTAGCGGGCTGCTTGCCCTTAGCGCGAGGGGCACTGCGGGGCTTGCGCTCTTCCAGATAAGACAGGACCTCACGGTAGTTGTGGCCGAGGGCAGTCTTGTTGCGGAGGAGACGTTTTTTCAGGGCGCCACGCTTGGAGCCGGAGGCGTCGATGATGCGGGCGATGATGGCGAGGACGATCTTGCCTGTCAGCTCGCAGAGGCGCTGTTCGGCGACGATACTGCTGCGGAGGCGCTCGTTCATGACTGCTTCGTCTTCGGAGTCGCTAGCTTCATCTTCGGAGTCAAGCTCGTCTGCTGAGGCCGGAGCATCGTCATCTGCGGGGTCGAGGTTGAGTCTTGATTTCTTGGCGGATGTGCGCTCAGCTATATCGTGGATCTTGGCAATGAGGGCTTGGGTATCAGGTCCGATTTCGTGGATTAGACCTTGGGTTTGGAATAGGACGTCTTCGTCGTTGTCGTTGCCTTGACCGATGTTGCGGAGCGTGCTGAAGAGCGTTTGCAGGTCTAGGTATGTTGTAGTTGCTGTGAAGCGGAGGTCGTCCAGCCCAGGGCGCGTTTTCATGATGTTGACGAGCGTTGAGGCGAAAGTTTCACGGCTTTTTGTTAGTGCTTCGAAATAGGATGTGCTGAAGGAGGCCTTTCCATCATTCAGGGCTGTGGATAGTGCCTGCACCTTCCACATGAAATAGAAAAGCAACGACCGGATACTACTTGATACTAGCTCGTTCTCTGCCTTAGCAGTATCCTCATCGTCATCCTCTTTGCGCAGACCATGTTCGGCAAGCCGGATGAGGGTGTTGAATGGGGCTTCAGTGTGGTCCTTCTTGAATTTCGATCGTGAATTAGGGACAGTTTCAAGGATAGAGGCACAATCTGTGATACCAGCCAGGTTCGAAATTCGAGAGACAGTGTTGGTCAGGTCGGTGAGAGTGGGATCAGATATTGAGCCACCTTCCTGAACGCTCTTTTTCTGAGACAAGGCAGCCAGCGCCTCCACCATATCATCCCATAGCTCTTGAACCTTACTCTCTAGGGCCTCTCGCATCTCCTCGGAGCTCTTGGCATGCAAGAAAGCCACACTAGCTTCGGCGAGAACATCGTGATCCGAATGAGTCAAGAACTGCTTATTGATATCATTGAGCAACGAGGTATAAGCCGTAGCATCTTTTTGGAGATCCTGGATTGTATCTAGGTCCACAAGGTGTTCCAGTCGCAGAACGGCAGAAGCAGCTTCCGGTGTGGATCCGAACTTATTGAGAAGCCCAGGGATGATCTGGGCAAGGTTGTGAGAAAGTTCCTCTTGGAGCTCGGAAATCCTGGCTGTCAGAGCCTTGGTCTTGCGCCCGCGCTTCTCGATATCAGATTTGGCGATGTCCAGGACACGTAGCTTGACTGCAGCACAGAGCACCTCCAGAAGGATAGATTCCTGTCCCTCTTGCATTTTGTACATGTTCTTTACAACTCCTGCATTATCATCCTCAGGTGGCGTGTCAGTGATTTGAGAGTGGTCATAAAGCAGATAACCAGCCAGCGATGGCCATTGAGAAAGCTCTTCCAGGTGGGGGTAGACAGCCTCAGTCGCGAGAGCAAAGCGCGACTCTACAGCCGCTCCTAGCAGTGTGTCACGAGACATTGGCTCCGGTTGCTGTTCGTCTTGCTGTGCATCGTAGGCCTGGAACAGCTCAGTGAGACATTTAAACTTGATCCATGAGTGCTTAGGCGATTCGTAGTCGTCTTCGTCATCATCAGCCAGCAATTCGGCGATCTCCTCTCCCACTTCCTCAGTAATAGACTCGTATGCATCTTGAACGTTGGCAACAAAGAAGCGTCCGGCCGTTTTCCGAATTCGGGGGTCCAAATCAAACACCAGTCGACCGACGGCATCGATATCATTTGGCTCGAGTAAACCTCCTTCACGAAGGTGATTTAGCAACTCGATCGCAGCCATGCGCACCGAAACATCAGCATCTTGCACAGCAATCTCCACGATTCGTTGCCGGAATCGCTCAGTGAATGAATGCAAACCAGCAAGGTTGTCACGGTTCTCATAAAGGCTCAAAAGCTCGGTCAAGGCAACAAGTCTGGTTTGTGCAATGACATCGGCGAGGGTCCATCCTAGGTATCGCAGATACTGGCCCTCAAAGAATATTTCTCGGTATGTGCGGATCCATCCACCTAGAGCTGTCAGACATTCGGCACGGATCTGACCGTCAATATCTCGGTAGCGATGGACAAATACAGTATCGAACCCATCCTGCAGGAACTCGTCTAGTCTCTCTACCTTCTGTTCGCCCTCTGACACCGCCGTTTTAATTGCTTCCACACGGCCCTTGTTTACCGTCTTCTTTTTCTTCTCACTTTCGAGTTGTTTTCTGGAGGTTGATACGCTTGTCGTCACCTCACGCGCAATTTCACATAAGGCATTCATGATTGCAAGGGAGATCAAGGTCGCCGTATGCCGGAATGGTCGGCATTGTGATGTCGACATGGAAGAGACCCAGATCTGAATGTTTTCGAGCAGGGTATCATCTGTGTATAGGAGGGAAGAGGCGTGGAAAGTTTGAATCAGTGCGATGGTGAATTCTTCGAGGAGGACGGAGAACGATCTGAATTTCTTCGCCTTGGAGATGATAGGGTAATCGGTGATGCCTTCTGCTTGGTAAAGGTTCTGTAAGTCTTCGATTCGGCTCGGGGCATTGTCAATGTCTTCCACTTCATTATTGTCGATCTCAAGATCGGTACCGGTGCACCGTAGAATGAAGTTGACAAGATCCCGCATGGCCTGTCCATTGTTACGCTGGTATTGAGACAACCACTGAGCGGCCACTGTATCGGCATTGCTGCTTTTCCCAAAGACCTCGGCTAGCCCTGGTATTAGCCATGGAGTTTATTTTCCATATATCAAGAAGGATATCACTCACCAAACAAGCCACGTTCACCCGCCGCGAGACTAGGTCGCACTTTCGGTTTCCGGGGGCGAGCAGCGAGCAGTCGGCCATTGGTGGCTGGTCGGAAGGCGAGCTGTCCTCCTAACCCGTTACTTGCAACCTTGGGTTTCTTTGAAGCGTGCGATCCCTTGGCCTTGGCTTTCGATTTGGATTTCTTGGTACCGGTTCGACGTGCAGCGCGTCGCTTTTCTTTCAATTCCTCCTCATCGGTCTCGTCGTCGCCGACATCATCACTGTCAGACTCGGACGCGTCCTCATTGCTATCCTCACGCGCCTCGCCTCGTTTTCGCTTTCCGCCCGCAGCTTGTTCTTCGGAAGAATGTGTAGTCTGCGAGAATATTTCGGGCCGTCGCGTCTGTCGACCGGATTTGCGTCGGTCTTCGGCGGGGGTCGATACTGGGCCACTGGGGCTTGATAAAGGTGGGTTGTCGATATCCATGATGTCCGATCGGTGTATTATATGAGTATGCGATCAGATCAATAATGGCTTTCAACAGAGCTAGCAGATGTCGCTGCAGTTCAGGTCGGGGACGCGCTCGTGCAACGCGCAAGTCTGGTACGACCAAGCAGATAGAGATTGAGGGATCTGAAGTGAGTTTGCAATTCGAGAGGTCGAATATTTTCGACACGCGCTCTAGTCGTGTTGAGACAAAGTCAATCAAACGGAAGCATTTGGGCAGAAAACGGTCCGGATCTCAGCGTGGGGGGAGACGCGACATCGTGCCTGGGGGCCTGAGGTTGCCTAGATCACGTAACCATACCACGCGGTTTTGTTGCCTTGTAGACCAGGTGTCTATTTGTATAGTTACATCAGGACTAATATAGAATCATTACACCCAGTAGCATTTTAAAGACACTTAGGGAAGAACTACCCTCTACCAACATACGAGAAACAAAAACAAAGCGAGCCAAATTAGTATTCCACTTCCATATTTTTGTCCAAAGAACCGCACAGTGTGGTATGTGACATAGAATCCGATTTTTCCTCGTGTCTTTGCTTCAAAAATGCTTGGAATTTGTTGGAGACATTCTTGCAGTTATCCACAGATACAAGCACACCAAGTGCTAAACTGTAGTCACATGGCGTTCTGACCACTAGTTCAAGGTTAGACTGACGCAGTCAGATCAAAATCCATGAGTTAACTCATCTCTGAGTTCTCATTGGTTTGAGGGAGTTTGATTTCTGCTCGTCTGAAGTGCGGCATCATTTCGAAGCTTGTGTACCACCCCTTAGAACGAATAGAACGGGTTAGATTTCAATAACAGAAATGTAGATAGGTACTCACTTAGGCTAAACACTGAGCGAGATCACCTCCAGCCAGATGCTCCCTCTTTGCTTCAATAATGATTCTCAGCGCAGTAGGAGTGAGAGGGACGCCTTATAAACCTTCCCATACAAAGTCCCAGGGCTCGGTCCCGCAGCTCCCTCCATATAGTTGGCTGACCTCAGAAGTACATATGTATGTACTAACAACCAACCAATTACACTACTCGTTACATGTTTACAAAAAGAATGTAATTTTTTAACGTTTCAAACAACCAAACGTGGTGTATATTGAAATGTAACTATCGATATGAGTTACTCGGTTGTTCATGCGCAATTTATTTCAAGTTTTATGATTGTGTATCACAATGTCGATATACTTTATATACATACACACATATTGTGCTTGTTCAGGCCAAACCTTTGAAAGATATTAAGTCTTAGGAAGCCACAAAAGGCAGAAGATAATCCAACTTTCCCAAAGGCACGCCTTCCTTGCGCAAGATACCATAGGCAGTAGTGACATGAAAGAAGATATTAGCCTGCATAATGCATGCGTATGCAACCCCAGATAAGGGTTGCATATTTGGTCCCAGAGGCGTGGGCTTGACAGCCTCGCAATTTTCGAGGATGTAGTCTTTGTCAACTGCATCGATGGCCTGGAGCACTTTGTCGATGCGCGCGTACAGTTCCGCATATGTCAAGACAACATCCTTGCCCCTATCCTCGGTTGGGAATGGCTCATCTGTCAGCCTAGCCAGAGCTAGCGATGCTTGTGCGGTTGCCGCGAATACTTGAAAACTGAGTGATCTCATGTCATCGTGGAGTCGGCAGGATGGAAAACTGGAGGCGTTCGGCTGTTCCTCGGCTTTGTGAAGAATATTTGAAAGAGTAGTTAAAGCCCGCTTTGTTTGGAGAACAAAGCCCTCATAAAGAGTATACGACATGCTGGCAAGTTGGGGCTGTGAATGGAGAAGCTGTGTTTGGAAGGATATTCTACCTTGGGGGAAGGGGATTTATATAGTATTTAGGCGATGCTTACTTCGTATTCTTGGAAGGGAATGGAATTCTGTGGCTATCCATGGATGGATAGATGGATATGATTATGGATATATAAGCACTATCAACTTACCTAGGTAGGAAGGTACTGGGCACTTGGCATTAAGAGTAACTGATGATAGTCATCTATCGCACTACCACTACAACTATCCATTCTGAGACTATACAAGTAGTACTAACATTGACTGCCACGCATCTCGTTCCCGAGTCCAATATCTTACTAAAATACATTCGACTTTCAGCTCTTATTTGATTATATGCGCAAATACACCATTCCAGATTTGGAAGGTTTGCATCAGCTTACCTCCTGAAGGCGTGCTTAATAACATTAGCAGACCCCTGCCCCTGGGTAGGGTTCACAGGGGTTCAAAAATGGACTACAGGTGGGGGGACTATGGGGAAAATAGGCCTACAAAGTAATCCAAGCCCACATGTACGTATCTTGATCCTTTTTTCCATTCGATAATTGAGGTGGAGTGCCTTGGATATCTGGCGACAATTTCATCTACAAAATTACGTCACTCTTTCCAATTGGAGGGAAATATAATGAATCTATAGCAATAGTATGTACGGAGTACTCCGTACAGTGTCCCATGATCCCTTCGGAATGCCCAAACTGCCCAGACTGCCCGACTAGAATGAAATAAGCCGTGTAGATCACCTTCAGCCTGGGCAAATGACATAGTAGTGCATTGTGGTACATTGCCAAGAAGTAACCTCCAGGTCTAACGCCAATACTAAGATACTCTTTGTCATAGAAATCCTCAACTATTGATTCTCTGCCAGTTATGTTGTCTCCTGGTTATGCTCCGGAATCCCCATTCAGAGAGCCAAGAAAAGGTGAGTTGGGGGGATATCCCCCGCTTGACGATTGACGGATGTGGATGTCTATGACTAAGGGGTCATCATTTTCCCTCCAGGGTTTTATATACTTTGGGAGTCGCCCCTCTTAACATATTTCTGATGGGCTGGTCTTCATTGATAAAAACCTATATTGTCTTTCGAAGGCTTTCTCCTCATTCATATAACACCTAGCTCTTTTCGCCTTGCCACCACACATACATCGCCATGCGAAAACCAACAGCACCCATTCCCTCGCCCTTTGAGTCTTCCATTGCGAAGCCAGGGCAGGGCAAAGTGGTCCTCTCTCTCCTCCCACCAAACAATCCCACCCTCACAACCCTCACCTACAAATACCCATTGAAGCTGGTCCCGCGCACTGGCGGCTTCGTCCCAAGCCCAGATTCCTCCGTTCTTTCAGACACACGTCCCTCCAACCCCGTCCACCTCTACCTCCTCACCTATGGCGGCGGTCTCTTGCCAGGGGACCACATCGAAGTGTCCATAACCCTCGAACCGAAGACGCGAATGGTGGTAACAACGCCCCAGGGCAGCACCAAGATCTTCAAAACGACCCCAAATAATGCCGGCACGACCCCAAACGTAATCAAAGGCCACCGTGATCAAATGCCCGCAAATATCCACATCTCCGACATGAGCCAGCAATCCCTAGACGTCAAAATCGGCCGCCAAGCAGCCCTCTGCTACCTCCCCGACCCCTCTGTCCCCTTTCAACACAGTCGCTACGCCCAAGTCCAAATCTTCACCGTAGATGCCACCGCAAAAGGCAGCGATCGCAGCAGTCTCTGTGTCCTAGACTGGGTAACGCAAGGCCGCACCTCGCGCGGCGAGGACTGGAACTTCCACTTCTGGCGCGGCCGCAACGAAGTCTGGGCCGAAGACGATCAAGGCAAACGCCGACTCCTCCTCCGCGACTCGGTAATCCTCGACGATGAATCGGGAGACCTGGACGCAACCCCCGTATCCAACGAAATCGAAGTCGAAGACGGAGCCAAAGATGAAGTCGAAGACGCAGCGCACGACAGAAATACCGCCCTATCAAAACCCGCTGACATGCCGCCGCAGGCGCCGGCTGGGCTAACACCGCTGAATATCATCGCGGAGCGCACGCGGCCACACGGCGTTGTCGGCACGCTTATCCTTTCTGGCCCTGTGTTTGAAGCGCTGGGTTCGTTCATGCTAAAGCAGTTCCAGTCGCAGCCTCGAATTGGCAGCCGTAATTGGTCGGACCATGCGGCGTCGTCCGTGCCTGAGCCATCGCTTAGCCATAAGGGTGATGTTACTTGGACGGCTGCGCGCGTGCGCGCTGGCTTTGTGCTTGTCAAGTTCGGTGCTAAGGACTTTGAGACTGCGAAGCACTGGCTTGGTGGATTAATTCGGGAAGAAGGGAGTGTTATCCGCGAGTTCGGTGAAGAGGCGCTCTGCTGTCTATGAGATATGACATCTACGGGTAGTTATGTTTGAGGCGTTTTGTCGGTGTTGACGGGGCTCTCCGCTGGCCGAGGGCCTATGTCTGTAATCTTGGGTTGATTTGAAGTTATTTTGGACTGGGTCCTTTTTTTGGTTCATGCATTTGATTTAATCTGATTTTACTGCAGGGATCATGGCGTCAATGCTGGATATCGGCTATCAAAGGCGTTGGGAAATACGTCCCAGGTTGAGGAATAACATTATCGCTCCTGCGTTGAATGCGACAGGGACAAAAATTATGAGTATAGCGAAGTTGGAACTGAAAATAGATTCCATTCACAGCACTGTCTCTTATTATCAAAAAAAGTATGGGTATCAGTATCTTGAAAGCTGCATATGTAGAAGTTTTGATATTTTGATATTGTATAGCACCGTGAAATATGAAGCAAGTAATCTATCAAAAAAAGCGATAAAGCCAAATAAAAAGGCGAGGTATCGTAAATCAGACAAGAAAGCTCCAACGCCAGCCCATGATCCCATATTTTATCAGAAGTAAAGAGCCAAATGGGGAGAACAAAAAAGAACCTACCATCTAATAATGCATATCACGGCCACCAATCGAAAACCTTCGTATTCCAATCTCCCTTAGCAGCAGAAACCAAATCATCAACATTCAGGATATCAACGCCTTCCTGTGCAAGCACGCGCCAGACATGATTCCGCAGACTGCGAGGCCAGCTCGGCAGCGCCCAGTAGCGGACTTTCAAGCCGTGCTGGTGCGCAACACGCACCTGGCTGCGGATACGGTCCATTTGGGTCTTCGTGAAGTGGAAAGGCCAGGGGTGGCCGATTGTGCTTTTGAAAGACACAGAGGCATAGAAGCTGTTCGAGGTGTTGAAAGTGGACGCAGTGATGATATCCGGCATGCCAGATTGACCTTGACCGAGATCTGTGCGCAGGGTGAGAACTTCCTCTGGTCGGGGGCTGTTGTCTGGCTGGTCGACATCGACGAGTTTGTCGAGTGGGGCGTCGAAGAAGATATCACGGTAAGTGGTGTTTGCGGTGACGAGGTTGAAGGGCGTATTTCCAGTTCCGACGATGGTGATGGGGCCATGGATGACCTTGTCGCCGTTGAAGTGGGTTAAATAGCCGCGGTCACGGAGCGGAGCGAGGTGCTTCATAACGGCGTCCCAGGTTGTCGGGCCTGTGGTTTTAAAGTCGATCAGGAGGATTAGAGTTTGGGCTGGGTCTGTGTCAAAGACGCCATGCGCAGGGCTGTTGCCTCCTGGGTGAAATTTGGTGGTTGGGTTCTGGCGTTCGAGGATGTTTACTAGCGGGTCAATGTACATGGATTTCAGGGTTAGGCGCTCTGTCAGGGACGATTTGGTGTGGCCGACGTAGAGTTCGTCGTCGAAGAGCCAGACATCGGCTTCAACACCTATGCATCCTGCTTGCAGTGCGGAGTACAGTGGCACCCGGCGCCAGTAGTCATTGTGAGAATGGCAGCCAATAGCGACGATATCGCGCGAGATATCGGTGGGCCAGCGAGTTTTGTCTGCGGCGCTGGCACTGTCGGCACTTTCAAGCCAATTATGAACCGCGCGGTCGTATTCATCCGGGAAGAATGAGAGGATGATACCACAGGCGATAGAGATGAATTGAATGATGCCTCTGTTATTGGTGAGAGATCAGTGGGTCTTCAAAGATATGACCTGTATAGTTCTTGAAACTCACAGCATTATGAATATTCCGATAATTACACGCCGTATACCATTTAAGTATCGCGAGCGACAAGATCGCTTGCGCTTAGATGGTTCTTCAGGCAGCCCAGGAGACGTTGAAGGCCAAGCCAAGGCCGTCCAGAGTTGACTCCATGAGCGGGCCGGAAACCCCACTCCCTCAGAGCCGACGGTGTCAATATTGAGCTTCGGATTTGTATCTAATGAGTCTCTGTATGGATCGAAGCGAAAACTAGATACCGAGCTCTGGGAAGAGTGAAAGGTGTCCATCATGAGTAAGGCAAAGAGAAAACAAAATAAAGGAAAGCGAGGTTATATAGTCTCAAAAGGTTAAAGTCTTGAGGCAACCATGATAATAGGCGGTGATCGGTTCCGTGGGGTTGGTAAAAAAAGGCTTGGTTACATTTAAATGACAATTTGCCGTGAAATGTACACACGTGTTGAATTGACGATGCTGATTGAATGAAAATGAAAATATTTCCGCTATATACAAGTACAAACCCCCCCCAAAAAACACCAATGGGTTCACATGAACACACTTTTTTGTTTATAGATTTTTACTCCTGAAGGGCCTTGACGTAGGTAACAGCCCGTGCCTTGACCTCCTCAACCATCTTCTCATCACCGTTCTCAGCAGCCAGACCCTCCTCAAAGGAAAGCCACTTCTTAAACAAGAAGCGAGCCTGCTTAGGCTTGAGCTTCTTGCTGGCGTCCACGCTGACGGGACCCTTCTTACCGCTCTGCAGGCCAAGAACGCGCTCGAAGAGACGGCGCACTTGCTCCGCGTCGCCGACCTTGATCTCCAGGTCCAAGAGCACGTTCCACAAGTCAATACGTTTGGGGAACGAGGACAGGAGACCCTCAAAGACGGTGCGACCGCGCTCGACGTCTCCGTTGGCGGAGCGGAATTCAAGCTGGGCGAACTTAGAGGTTGTCTCAACGTGGGTGTGGGCAGGGAGAGACTGAAGGGCACGGGGGAGCAGAGCCCGAGCGCGATCGGGGGAGGCCATGGTGTCGAAGAGGAAGCTGGCGTAGTTGTAGAAGAATTTAGGAGACTGGGAGGAAACCTTCTTCTTGAGAGCGGCGTAAAAGAGATCACTTGCTTTCTGTGAAATTGTTAGCATCCGTAAAGAGTAAGATTCGAAATGGATTAATACATACCTGGTTCTTGCCGGATTGAATGTAGATACTGATCATCCGCTCGTAGATCTCTTGAGGATCGTTGTACTGGCAGGCACGCTTGAAGATCTCCTCGAGGCTGTCGTCGTCACCGTAGGTGTTCTCCATGTTCAGCAGCGCAACCCAGATGTTCAACTTCTCGGCATCCTGGCCCATGGTGATGGTGCGCAAAGCACGCTCAGCAATGGCGCGAGCCTTCTCAATCTCGCCCAGCTCCAGCTGGAACGCCATGTACTGCAGCCACAGCAGCGAGGAGTCAGGCTCACCGAGAAGGAGTCGCTCAAAGTCAGCAACTGACTGAGGGCCATTAGCATCCAAGTCGCCGGTCCGGTCGATCTGGATCTCAGCCTTGCGGTTCTTCTTCTTCTTCTTTGTAGAGCCTTCATCTTCGCTATCTGAGCGCTCCGCGGCATCGGTCTGGGCAGTGCCACTCCAGTCGAAGGCGCTCGCACCGAGACCTCCGGCCTTGCTGGGCTTTTGGATCGGGACATCTTCGCCGTCATTCTCGGATTCCTCCTCCTCGCTGTCATCCTCCACATCAACACCTCCCATGGACTCATCATCCTCCTCCTCATCTTCACTGTCGTCCTCGCCGAGTTGGACACCGGCAAGACCATCAATGCTCATGCTGTCCTCATCCTCGCTGTCATCTTCCTCTTCATCCTGGAAGTGGGAAGCCTTGAGTGAGAACGAGATCTTCTTTGACTCAAGATCGATCTTGATGACCTTGGCCTTGACAGCATCGCCTTCATCGTACAGTTTGCGAGCATCTTCGACGCGCTTCTCGGCCATCTCACTACGGTGGCAGAGACCGCTAATGTTCGAAGAGCCGTCAATGACAATGAAAGCACCAAACTCCTCGACCTTGCGGACCTTTCCGGTGACAATCTGACCAACCTTGAGGTCCTTGAGGGTGATGGGAGCCTTGAAGTTGGGGTCCAGGACAGACTCCTTCAAGCTCATCTGTAGCTTGCCTTGCTCAGCGTCAACGAATGTGACCTTGCCCTTGACGAGCTGGTCAGGCTGGAAAGAGTCCTTCCATTCCTTGAGATACGAATCGGAAAGATCAGACACGCGGACGTAAGCAGTGATATCATGGCTGACTGCCACAAAGAGACCGGAATCGGTGACTCGTCGGACGAAGCCGCGAATGATGTCGTTGGGCTTGACATCCTTGAGTGAAGAGATCTCACGGTCCTCCACGGGCAGAGCGGAGCTCATGACCTTGGAGGGGCGCAGGGACAAGGCAATCTTCTTGTTGGACTTATCAACGGCAATAACGCATGCCCGGAGAACTTCGTTCTTGTTGTGTACGGTGGGGTTGGCCTTGGAGTAGTCATCTGCGAGGTCGATCAGGTTGACCGCGCCGACGAGTGACTCGCCGAGCTGCATAACGAGTTGACGCTCAGTGACCTTGGTAACGCGACCGGGCAGAATCATGCCAACGGATATATCTCCAAATGTGAGCTTGTCGTATCCTTGCTTGGCAGAAAGATTGAGGTGGCCCTTCTCGGCGTTAACAGCGGTTACCTGGACCTTCAAAGCAGAGCCGATTGGGAAGTTCTTCTCAATGTCGGTCAACAAGGACAGATCGTCTGATGCATCCATGAAGCGCAGTCTACCGCGCACGTTGGGAGACAGGTTGACCCAGAGGCAGTCGTCAGCGACATTGTTGACGAAACCTATCCAAGAGGAGCCGACTTGGACCTGCTCCATGTTGAGAGGGGCAGGGTTGGCGGCCTTGAGGTAGCTTGGCTTGACAGAGAGCTCGAAGACAGGGTACTTTCCAGTGCGGTGGCTGATGGGGAGGAACTTGTGGTTGCGAGCATCGTGAACACCAAGGATTCTGGCGGAGAGAGTCTGCTTGGGCTTGAAGAATCGCAAGGGTTGCTTGCGATCCTTGATATCTTTCCAGTCGTCGAATACCTCGGACACATCAATGCGACCCTGAATGTTATCCGCGAGCTGAACGTTGACCTGGGTTGCCTTGATAGACACGACCTTGCACTCAACGACTCTGCCGAAGGTGAAGTCGGACATGCTCTTGATGTTGTCATCGACGGGGTTGGCAACGGTCTCGTCGGTCTGCTTGGCCGCTTTCTTGGGAGCGGTCTGGTTAGCCTCAACAGGCTTCATGCTCAGAATGAAACGCTTGTATTCCTGATCCACAGACTGCACATTGACAACAATCGTTTGCGCCTTTGTCAACCCGTAGTGAGGCTGCTCGAGGTTGGCGTCTTCGATAAGACGCTTGGGGAGCAAGCCGGTGAGGCCGCCAAGGAACTCAACGAAGACACCGTCGGGTGTGATGTTGCGGACGAATCCTGTGACAAGGGAGCCCTCTTGAACTTCCTCAAACTGGCCTGGAATGTTATTCTGCTTGGCAGCTTTCTTCAAGCTGGCCCTGCTGGAAACCTTGATAAGACGGTGAGCGCGTTGAATGTTGAGGACCAAAAGATCGTTCAGCTTCTGGCCGACACGGAGCTTGGACATCATTGAGCTTTGTTTAGATGGGGGCCCGTCGATGAGGTGCTGAGCGTCGAGGCGAGCCACAAGGCCTGATTCATCAAGCTTGAGAAGCACATCATCATTGGACTTCTCGAAGACGATTCCAGAAACAAGGTGGCCGGGATGAAGGTTTTCAAAGGCCTCGCGGTACTTCTCGGTAAATGTCGAGGGGTCCTTGCACGAGACGGCAAGTCTTCCGAGGGATGCATCCACGCTCAAAGCATGAACATTAACGACCTGGCCGAGTCTGAAGTGCTGGGCCGGATCCTGGATGTAGGCTTCACTCATCTCGGAGACAGGAAGGAAACCACGGACCTCACCGTAGAACTGCACAACAGCACCGTGACTCTGAAGGTTGACAATGGTACCAGGAGACTGAGCTGAAGGAGTGATATCTTTGTAGTCCTTCCAGATAGCAGACTCGCTGTTGAGCAAGCTCTTCTTCAGGGTCAAACGGATTTGGCGTTTTTCGAGGTTGACAGAGAGGATTCTCAGTGAAAGCTTTTGACCCTCACGGAATTTCTTCTCTGGGAACTGAAGCATGGTATCCGCAAAGTGCATGGAAGGAACAAGACCGGTGATTCCGTCGGCCAGGTTGACGATCAAGCCAGTCATACCCTCGGCACCGATCAAAAGCTTCTCAACTTTTCCTTTGACAATAGCACCCACATTCACATCTTCGACGCGAAGGAAGGGCTGCTCAATAACGCTCTTCTCAAATGAGAGGATGTAAAGGTTATCAATTGAGTTGTACCCAATGACTCTTGCCTCGTGGACAGCGTCCAACTGGAAAGGTCCAGAACTTTCATCAATAGTTTCGACCTTACCATCAGAGAGTCTCGACATGTGAACAAATCCCATATGCTTTGTCTCTCCAATCCGAGCATACACACCCAGGCCGTGATCAACCTTTACGACCTTGACCTCAGGGATGATTGCGGAAATAGCAGGCGCATCATCGGAAGAACCGGGACCGCGAGCATCGGAAGAGAGTTTGAGGACGTGATCGAGCATAGAAAAGCTGACCTTGAGTGGCTCAGCGGCTGGGAAAGTTGAAATAATACGGCCCTTAATCTTTGCGCCAATCTTGAATTTCTTCTCTAGGTCAATCTTTCCGTTGATGCTAGACTGGACCAGATCAACGGTTGCGTCGAGCATTCCCATGATCTTTCCGATCATTCCGTTCGATTCGACTTCCGTGAGAAGAATTTCTGCAGCGGTACCGGGGAGGAATGTGTTGATCGTAGGTGCGGAGCTGAGATAGTTGGACTTCTTGATCGAGGCGGACGATTGGAAGTTGGAGGACAGCTTGATGACATTGCCACTAGCGTTCTGGCCAGTGACCATGCAAAGGAAAACAGAGCCTTCCTTGATGTTTGAATAATCCACGCTGGGGTCGGTCTCCTTGGAGGACATGAAGCCCTTCAGGTCTGACCCTTCAATGCCAAGGTCCATGACCACACCGTGATCTTCCACACTGACAACGGAAGCTTGGACAGCAGAGTTCACAACAAGATCGGACTTCGAGAAGCCAGTGTTTGTCTGCCTGGGGTCGACTGAAAGCTCAATGTGTTTCTTGCTCTTTGCTTTGGGATTCTCGGGGTTGCTGCCGGTAGACACAACGTATGCCCGGAGGTATTGACCCAAATAGAAGTGATCCTTCAGGTCGAATGACTCGTCGTCGGAACTATCTTCGGCATCATCGTCTTCGCCTTCGTCGTTCAACATCTTCTCAAGTCTGTCTTCGAGACCCTTCGAAATGGATGTGAGAGGGACGTAACCGGTAAGGTTGTTAGGCAGGGCAAGGGCGATATCGTGGGCGTTGATACTCGAGACCTGACCTAGGATCATGGCTCCAGGAACAATACGCTGCAATAGTTAGAAGATGATATACTGAACCCTTTTCTACTACATACCTTGAAGCTAAGACCCTCGATGCGAACATCTTGCTTGTCATCAGTTCCCTTGTCTGCAGACTTCTTGCTCTTTGACTTCTTCTTCTTGCGCGACTTTTTGGTGGTAGTGGTGCTTTCTTCGTCCTCCATTTCAACATCGTTGTCGCTTTCATCGGCAAATTCCTTGGAAGGCGTCTTCTGGGAGGGTTTCTGGTTTCCAGATGCTTTTTGCTCGAACAAGACATCTCTGTTGGCCTGAATCTGAATTTGCTTGCGCTCCAGTGGTGTCAGAACACTTGCGCCACCACGAGGGAACGAGGGCTCATCGTCGCGCAGAACAGAAAGTTCTGAAGCCTTCCCAGCGGCGGATGTGGCATCGTCTGACTTCTTATAGTCTTTCTTGACCTCTTCCGCTCCTACTTTAGCACGTTTTTGGGGCTGTCGGGTAGCATTTTCTTCGGGGGCGTTCCCCTTGCGCTTGATTGGTGCCATTCTTAAACTGGCAAAACCGAATCGTGCAGTTGCAGATTGCGGTCTAATTCCTCAAGAGAAAAGATAAAAAAAATTCCGCGGATGCGGCAGAACCTTCTAAGCGGTGTAGACCTCCACATGGGGTATGAGTCAGCAAATGTGTGCCTTCATTTCAAGGACAGAACCATGCCCTAAAATGCCGCCGAGATCTAGAGTTTGCGATTCGGATATTATACAAAAAGAACTGAAGAATCTTAAATATTTCAAAAGCCTGACAGGTATTGTGCAGCCAGCTGGTATTTTGGTGTTCACCAATCGGTAAAAGCCCTCCCAAAATGTCCAAGAAATGGTTGTCGGCAGTATTTGGTTAGAATACTATAGCGGCGGTTCCTTACAGTGTGTTCTGAATGAACAGCGTGTGAAGGAATTCGGCTGGGAGCGATGGATCGTCCGAATTGGTAATGCGTTCAGTTTTATTCATTGCGCAAAGAAAACTCATATGGATCTAAAGCCTTCAAATATCGTTCTCGATGATAATGGTCCTCATTGACATTAGCGGTATTATTGGTGGAGTAACAGTGTACCCTAGAGATACGGGATGAAATGTGACCCTTGGATCTTCTGTTCCAAGCTTGTCGATTGAATGGTATTTGGGCCTACGGAAAGATTTTGACTGAAATTGTGTCGAGCGCTGGGGACAGTCCCTTCGCGAGAACTCCTAAGTGGGTTGCGAGCCATTTAACTAAAGAGGATATCCGCACCCAGTGGACTCTGTCTAAAGGAATATCTCAGTTGAAACTTAGTCAATATGTTGTTTAGTTTGAACGTTATCTGGTTTATTTACAAAGATTATATGATCATGAAAACAAGTGCTCGCGTTGAGTCCGCCTCAAGCCAAAAATTAACAGGTTTGGATACGAATTTCAGCATATTCCCAAGCTTTTTCAAAACCACCGTTGGTCCTAAAGCCTAGTCACATATTTAAAGAATCAAAGAAACTTCTCGCTGGCCCCTCTCGTCGAACGTTGGCATTTTTATCACATTGGTCAAGTCTACACCAGGCTGAGCCAGTAGTTGACAGGGTCACCTTCGTTGACCCCAGGCATACACACTTGCTTCTGTTTTTCTTCCGGCTTCTTGCCGTAGTGACCACAATCATGGACCCTGATTGGTATTGACACATTTGAAAACAGGTAACTATTATAACGTGGGAGGTTCATGTATCCGAGGAGAATGGCCATAAGTTCCGGATTTCATCTGGAGTTTTGTTAATATCTGGCTTGGAGACATAGTAGTCGAACAGCATCTTGTTTCGAGAATTCACCTCAGTGAAATCGCGCTCTGGAGAAATCCAGCCATCATCATCAGTATCAAGGATTTGCTTGACAAAGTTGCGGATTTCGTGCCTTTCTTGATATGCCTGAAACTTCTTCGTGTGTGCTGCGATCTGTTCGTCATTGAGGTGAAGCGATAGATCTGCTGCGAACCCGAAGTCCTGCTGATTGCGAAAAAGTTCAATCAATGTTTCCCGGAGCGGGAGGATTCCCTCATCCCAAGTATCACCACAATGACGGAATAGTTCCTTTAGAAGCAAGGGAACTTGCATCGCTCTCCAGGCTTTTCTATCATTCAGAAAGGTTGCAACCTCATAGGCCTTTGTCCAGGTAGCCTTTTCTTTATTGTATAAAGCGATCTCTTTCTCTTCGGCGTCCATATCTTCAAAGCTAGATGGAAGCTGAGGTAATACCTGGCCCTCTTGGTAGTCTTCTGGTGGAGTTAGGAAGACGGGCCATCTGACATGCAAAAACAAGGGACTGATAGAAGTATGTTGCCAGTCAATAAAACCAGTAACATTGGCCGGGTCATCTTCAGCAACAAATATATTTCCCATATGAAGATCGGTATGCCATAATGTAGGCTGGGACTGGGCTAGCAGCTTGGGATTGTTTGCTACTACTGACATAATTTCCTTTGCCATACCGAGGGTTATCAAATGCTCCTCTAAGGAACCATTCAGAGAGGCTGTTGGTTTTGGATTGAGATGGTGTTGAGACTTGAAAAGTGAGCGATTGATGAGAGATTCGCCCAAGTCACCGATGGTTTTCCCTGATAAAATATTAGCCGTGGTTAGCCGAGGGAAAAGGGCAATACTTACAAGGGCCGCAGTGAACACTAGGACTATGCTGTATGGGCCAGGCAGAATCACACGAAGGACCAACACAAAATAGACCGTCAGGATCCACAGATGGATCTAGCGAGATCAATTCATGATCTTTCAGCGAACTTTTGTGATATAGACTGCCGGAGGCTGGAAATGGAATCTCAGCAAGCTCACGCTCCCATTGCGTGAGGCGTTTGATGATTGATATGCGATTGCTCTCTCCCATTTCATCCCATTTCTTGAAGATCTGGACACCAGGAACTCGCTCCATCACGATGTACTCGGCGCCTACTGGGTTAGTTGAATCAGCGCTCCATGCTAAGACCTTTGGCACGGGAATTGTGGTATGTGTCTTGACTAAATTAAGGATATCCATAAGTTTATGCATTTACGGTATTGATATAAGAGACCATTCTTACCGAAGTTCAAGGCCGCAACCTCAGATGCCGTGCAGTACATAGGCTTTCCGGCATTTGGGCATGGAATTTTGACGATGTATTCGGAACCATCCAGGGTTGTCACAAGGAGGGCCTTGCTGAACCCACCCTCCATCTTCTCTATCTGCGAAACCTGCGGTGCCCTAGTTCCGGAGATGCTTGAGACCACATCACATAAGCGGTCGACGTCAAACTGAACATAGCGCTTCGATAGCTGACTTTCTTCCTCAGAAAGAAATCGACCATTTGTGTATTTGAACAGCTCTTCTTTGGAAATAGGACTTCCTATTATTTTATTAGCGCTTCTGAATTAGTAACCCTCTCCACAGTTGATACCTCGAGACATAATAGATAGGTGTCTTTTGGATGTTTCAGGAAACAGGCTCCTATGAGGACGTCGAAGCCTCAGGAGTCTTCTCAAGGCTTGCATGGCGAGAATATGCGGTAATAATACGATATACCCTGAATAGAGAGCTTCAACATAGGCTGAGAATACAGACAGGGTTGAATTAGGAAAATGTTAACTCAAGCAACGAATATAAGTCTGGAATTGAGGAGTGTTGACATCAAGATCGTTTGGTGATTTCACGCGTATGGACATAAAAACCATGGAAACGATTTAGCCTAGAGGTTAATCCAAGCCGAAATTTGGCCTTATTCAAACATGAAGGAGGAAGAATTTGGATTGAAGGAGTTCGACATGAAGGGTGGAGGTGAAAATGCGTTGGATGCCTTGACACGATCGCGTCACGTCGCGACACGAAAAAAAAGATCCAACTTCCCCGATTCATCTCACCCCCCCTTTAGCACTTCCAGCCACCAATGCATCTATAGCCTTTTTATTTCCTTTCTGCTTTTTTTGTTTTTGTTAAACACATAATGGACCTCAATCACCCGGATGTATCCCGATCAGAGCCTATCCTTCCTCCTCCAGAGCCACCTTCATCCCCGCCATCTATTTCTTCGGGCAGTCGCAGACCCAGAAAGCCACCAACTGTAACGCCCAGGTCATTCAGTCGATTCTTTACCCCGCGTTCTTTATTACCAACTGGGGATACTTCCATTACTCCTTCAACCAGTCGCCAGGCCTTACGGGCACTAACATCGCCCGCGGTAAATCGTCTAGGGCCGGCCTTTTCGAGAACCTCTAAGGCTGGTAGCACTAGAAGTCCTCACGATGGCTTACCGGAAGACTTTATTCGCACCCCAAGTAGGAAAAGAAAAAACTCATTCTCCTCAGTCGTCTCCCCGCAATCCTCGCCTCTGAAGAGAGTTCGTGTCCGGTCTCCGGCGCAGGATGTGGAACAAGATATTAAAATTCCAAACATCAACATCCGCCTTGATGCATTAGCACCGCCAAGTTCACCCAAGCGAAATCCCCCGGTAGCCCCTGTGCGCCGTTCCCATGCATTGCAATCATCTGGTGCTTTGTTTATGCGAACTGTGATGGGGGATCGGGCAAATAAAGTAACCCTACGCTCTAACTCTGGCGCTGGTTGGTATTCACCCCAATGGCTTTCCTGTACACCTCTAACATCCTCTCTAGGTTGGCAAGATCTTACTTCCGACTTCTATTCGCGACCCGAAGACCGTCACATGTGTGCTAGCTACGGACCAGAAGCTCCAGTGGGCTCAGTTGCCCTTCCATTCTGTAATGCTTCATGCAACAGTACGTAATGTTTCACCTGACTGCTCCCTATATACGCTAACAAGTGGGAAGCAAACTCTCTTGTTGCAGTGGGTGACGAAGAGGGTGGAATTCGGCTCTTGGACTCATCGATTGACGAAGAGGTCGGGTTCACTAATGCATATCTTGGGTTTCGTCCTCACATGAACTCGATCATGGATCTCGAATTCTCATCGGACGACATGCTACTGGCTACAGCATCTGGTGACCAAACGTCTCTTGTTATTGATATGACAACACAACGACCCATCCACTGCTTATCAAATCACTCCTCCTCCGTTAAGCGTGTCCAATTCCAACCGGCCTCCAACAATAAGGTCCTTGCTACGTGCAGTCGAGATGGAAATGTCAATATTTGGGATCTCCGCTGTAAAGGGTTTGAACGGCCTGCATTACAAGTCCAATGCTCCCTGGAATCCGAATCCGAAAACACGGCGACCACTGTACCTCCAAAGATGCTATATCCGCACGTTCTAAATACCATTGAAGGTGCCCATGCTTACACAACCTCTCATAAACCGACCATGGACAAAAATGAAACGCCACCCTTTGGTCGGACCGATATCACCGTTACTTCCCTCGCTTTTCTCTCGCCTGGCCGCGAAAATATGTTTGTTACGGCTTCTGAGGCTAGTGCAAGTGTCAGACTTTGGGATTTGCGAACAGCACACAACAATCGCCGTGGTCGACCTGTCATTCCTCTATCTACAACGCAAGAGCCAGAAAGCCATGTGAAGTATCGACGTTTTGGCTTGACTTCCATGGCGTTTGGAGGAGATGGCTCACGTCTGTACACTCTTTGCCGAGACAACACCGTTTACACATATTCAACATCACACTTAATTCTCGGGCATGCGCCTGAACTTTCACTCAACAACAATCGACCACGAAGGACTGGAGGCTCCGACAAGGACGGCCTTGGGCCTCTCTATGGTTTCCGCCACCCTCGTCTCCAAATCTCCTCATTCTATGTGAAATTGGCTGTTCGCAAAGCAAACCACGATCACCCGGAGATGCTGGCTACTGGGAGCAGCGACCACTGCCCCATTCTTTTCCCTACCGATGAACGTTATATCAATTCTCCAGTGAAAAGACCAGCCGAATCTCTGCCTAGCAGAAATTCCCTTTTCAATGCCCGCCCAGGGCTTCGTCGCACGAACTCTGGAATCGGCCTGTCCGGCCGTCTCGAAGATACCATCCCAATCTACCAATCAGGCACTCCTCTCATCGAAGGTCATCAGAAAGAAGTCACAGGTGTGTCCTGGACACCATCTGGCGATCTCATTACCGTGAGCGATGACTACTCTGCTCGATGCTGGCGTGAGGGACCCGAGGCTCGTGAGCTTCGAAACGGTGGTGAAACCGAGGGTAAACGATGGATGTGTGGCTGGGCTGATATGAAAGACTCGATTAACGACGAAGATGAATGATTACCCGGCGTCGTCTGTGCTTTTTATTGTTTTGCATTTTCTTGTTTTGCATTTTCTGAGAGGTGTCTGTTTCTTTTTTTGCCTGTGGGCATTTGACTGGCGTTTGGGACGGCATATTTATTAGCGTAGCATAACCCTTCATCTCGGGCTTAGTTGTATTATCTGACTTGAAACAACCATTTCCCTCATTCATCGAGAGTCCAATTACTGTAAGATATCTTACTCGAGTATGGGCCGATAAACTAATATTTTGAAAGGCGAATGTGAAGTAGAAATGTCCATGGCCCCGGAGCCATATACCCGTGGACTTTGTAGAGCGATAAGATAAGGCTTACCTCGATGAAAAAAAGTTCCACCGACAACTCCAATCCTCCAATCTTCCACTGCAAACCCACCCAAAATGCCTCACAAACACAAGAGACGCGGCGAAGCCGATAAAGAGTGAGCTTTACTAACCTAAAAGGTCTATTCAAAGCCCAAGCAGGACTAACTATTTCCCTCGCGTCAGGCACTTCGATCTCCCACCCTCAGAAATCGCGAAAGCACTTCCAGTCCGCGATGCAGTCAAACCTAAGCTAGGCAAAAACGGCAAAAAGCTCGTCAACAAGAAAGATCAGAGCCAGAGTGCCAACAAAGCACCCACCCACCGCAGCAAGAATGTCACTGAAGACGACACTCCAAAAGCATTCCGCCGCTTAATGATGTACCAGCAGACCGGTCGACGGGCGCCATCGGGGCTAGAGACTGGCGAGCGTCCGAAGAAGCGCAAGCGCAATGCCACAGAAGACGAAACAACGTCGTCGAAGAAATCCGCTCAGGCAGCGGAAATGCAAAAGGCCAAAGCTGCCGCCGCGGCCGCCAAGGAAAAGGCCGAAATGCCCAAAATCATGCCCGGCGAGCGTCTGGCCGAGTTCGTAGCTCGCGTTGACCGCGAAATGCCATTGTCGCAGATGACCAAGACAGTCAAGTCAGGGGATGCCAAGAACAAGGAGCAGCACAAAAAGACGAAGCATGAGAAGCACCTGCTGCGACTGCAGAAAGGGTGGCGTGAGGAAGATGCTAAGATCCGGGAGAGGGAGCAGGAGGAGCGAGAGGAGCGTGAGAACGAGATGGAGGATGAGTTGAGGCAGTGGAAGGAGTGGGAGATTGAGGCTGCTGGGGGAAAGAAGAAGGCCGCGAAGAAAAACAAGAAGAAGAATGCCAATGGGGGTGATGATAGTGAGGACGATGATCCCGATCCTTGGGCGAAGCTGAAGAAGCGTGACGAGGAGCGGAAGAAGAATCCATTGGAGGTTGCGAAGGCGCCGCCCCAGTTGGTTAAACCCCGGGAGATCTTTAAGGTGCGTGGTGGAGCTAAGGTCGATGTTGCCAATGTGCCTGCTTCGGTTGGAAGTTTGAGACGTCGTGAGGAGTTGGCTGGTGAGCGGAGGAATATTGTTGAGGAATACCGGAAGTTGATGGCCGCCAGGCGGCAGTGAGGGATATAGATCTAGTAGAATGGTCGTTTAGAGCTACGGGTTTCATGTATCTACTTGGAGAGAAATTTATTCATATGCAGTTGCAGTATAAATGAAGATTTACTACTGCTGATCATCTATGTCACATCATATTACTGCCTTTTTTTGGGATTGGGGTAGTCAAAATGAGCTTAGTGGCCGTGGCCGTCATCCTGCGGCTGCTCGGGGTCCAGCTTGATGATCGTGTCAATGCGCATGATGGATATGCAAGCCTCCACAGCACTCTTGAGCTGCTTGATCTTGCTCATGCTGGGCTCGAGCACACCGGCCTTGAGAGTGTCGTGAACCCGTCCCTTCGTCAGATCCAAACCGTAGTTGCGGTAAGTCTTCTTCTTGGCGATAGCCTTCTCCTCCTCGTTAGCATCGCCGTCCTGCACACGCTGTGACAGGGCGTGGCGGACACGGAGCTGAGCAACAAGCTCAGATGAATCCTTCGCTGCGTTGACTGCCAGAGTCTGAGGGATGATAAGGAGAGACTGTGCGAACTCGCCAATGGCCAGTTGCTCACGTGAGCCCTGTAATAAAAATGTTAGAACCCGATGTAGAAAAAAGTAACAGCGAACAATACTACTTACAACTGTCACTGCGAATTCCTCGAGGTAGATATGAAGAGCGGTTTCCACGGCTCCACCTCCGGGAACAATGCTTCCACTCTCCAAAGTGCGCTTGATGGCACAGAGAGTATCGTGAACAGAGCGCTCCATCTCGTCCAAGCTGTACTCGTTGGCACCACGGAGAATAATAGAAGCAGCAGTATGGACCTTGGTACCCTTGATCAGGATACACTCGTCGTCCGAGATACGCTCTTGCGAAACTGACTCAGCGTGTCCAAGGTTTGATGCCTCGAACTTCTCATCTCCGTTGAGGTCAGAGAGGGTGCTGACCATGGTAGCACCAGTGGCTCTAGCAATGCGGCGCAGGTCCTCCTTCTTGCAGCGACGGACTGCCATGGCTCCCTTCTCAATGAAGAGCTTGAGAACCATGTCATCGATGCCCTTCGTCGTGAGAACGACGTTGGCGCCGGACTTCAGGATCATATCAACACGCTCCATAACAATGCCAGACTCACGCTGACGGATCTTCTCCAATTGATCGGGGTCTTCCACTGTAATCTGAACACCGAGCTTCATCCGCTCCTTCTGCAGGTTCATGTCGAGAATGGCGATCTTGGCGTCGGCCACGTGGGTTGTCATAGCCTGGGAAGCAACAGTGCAGTTCAACGCGTAACCATTCACAAGTACAGACTCTGTGCCGCTCTTTCCGTGGGCCTTAAGCAGGTTCACGGCCTTGACTGGGTATTTGACCTCGCCTCTCTGGTTCACAGACTTCACCTGCAGCATTGCGTCCACACACATGTTCGCAAAGAAATCGGAATCGGAACCGATGATCTTGCTAGACATAGAAGTCTTCGCAATGTTGACCAAGCTCTCTCTTCCGATATTATCCACCTTAGTCGTAACATTTTCATTCATATACTTGACGGCTTCGCGTAGGGCAATTCGGTATCCGTTGATGATTGTGGTAGGGTGTATACGGTTCTTCATCAACTCGTTACCTCTCCGGAGAAGCTCAGCAGCGATCAGAACAACTGAGGTAGTGCCGTCTCCGACCTATCAAAATTAATAGATCAGCATGTGTGTCTGAGATGTGTGGGTGTTGTTGAGGCCGTACCTCCTTGTCCTGTTGTTGGGCCAGATCAACGAGAATCTTGCCCGCAGGGTGCTCAATATCAAGAAGAGATAGAATAGTGGCGCCATCGTTCGTCACAGTCACATCCTATTAGATGTTAGAAGCTGCAGTTAATCTCTGCGGGTTTATCGTTTCCATACCCCTATGTCGTCCACCATCATCTTGTCCAAACCGGAAGGACCGAATGAGGATTTGATGACATTGGCGATTGCCTGTGTTGCCAGAACTGCAAGAAATCAGCTATAAACCCCCAACAAGTGCAGAATCATCAATAATTTAACATACCATTCTGCTCACGGACATCAGCACCGGTGATTTTCTGTCCACCCAAGACTGTGCGAGATTGGTCAGTTTTTTGCAACGAAAACGATGATCGATCAAATAAAACTCACAGAGCGTGTCCGCATTCCGCGGCGCCTCAAAGATGCCTGCCATAATAAAACAGACGATGTAATATGAGCTACTGGAGTGCGAAGGCAGAGCTGTCTGGCTTCGGGGGGGTTGCTGTGGGCACTAAAAGTTCTGCCGAGGCGGTGTGCTGGTAATTTTCGATATCGCATCCCACTTTACGGAGGGGAGTCATACCCCGATTTCGCTTTCTTAATCCTACGATTTACTTCTCATTGTCTAGTCAGACAGCTCCTTCAATATGGCTAGCCAAACCCCCAGCGACGCCCCCGCCTTCGAGGGCGCTGCCCCCCAGACCCTCCCTGACCGCACTCAAACCCCCGCCGATGACAAGGCTGCGGGTGAGTCAAAGAATGCCGCCAAGAAGGCCGCGAAGCTCGCGAAATTGAAGGCCGAGAAGGCTGATAAGAAGGCCTCAAACAAGGGAGAGAAAGGTATTGGCAAACCAGAGGCCAAGAAAGCTTCCAAGAAGAAGGTTGATGGTGCCGCTTTGATCGGTATTGATGTCTTGAAGGAGGAGGACTTCTCCGGTTGGTACCAGCAGGTTCTCACCAAGGGTGATTTGCTGGACTACTATGATGTCTCCGGTTGCTTCATTCTCAAGCCTGCCTTGTTCTTCATCTGGGAGGAGATCCAGGAATACTTCAACAAAGCCATCAAGGGAATGGGTGTCAAGAACTGCTCTTTCCCTCTGTTCGTGTCTGAGGATGTCCTTCAGCGGGAGAAGGACCACATCGAGGGCTTTGCCGCTGAGGTCGCCTGGGTCACGCATGCGTATGCCGCCCCTTGACCCTATAATAGCTTTTTATACTTCAATTGGGCTACACTGACATATACTTCCAGTGGCTCGACTCCCCTTGAGAAGAAGATTGCCATTCGCCCTACTTCCGAGACTGTCATGTACCCCTACTACGCCAAGTGGATTCGCAGTCACCGCGATCTCCCCCTCCGTCTTAACCAGTGGAACTCAGTCGGTACGGTCTCTATTGTTTTTCCATATCCTTGGAATGTTACTAACATCAATAGTGCGATGGGAATTCAAGCACCCCCAACCCCTACTCCGGTCACGAGAGTTCCTGTGGCAGGAGTATGTTTTTGACTCTTTTTTTGTTAAAGTGACATACTAACAATGTACAGAGGTCACACCGCTCACCTGACTGAAGGTGCTGCCCGCGAGGAAGTTCTGAGCATCCTTGACTACTATGCCAAGATTTACAAGGAGCTTCTTGCCGTGCCCGTTGTCAAGGGCCAGAAGACTGAGAAGGAGAAGTTCGCCGGTGGTGACTATACCACCACTGTCGAAGGCTACATTCCCGCAACTGGCCGTGGTATCCAGGGTGGTACATCCCACGGACTGGGTCAGAACTTTAGTAAGATGTTCGGCATCACCGTTGAGGATCCTACCGCCACGGTTGATGAGAAGAAGCCCCCTCTTCACGTCTGGCAGAACTCCTGGGGTCTGTCGACCCGTTCACTGGGTGTCATGGTCATGATCCACAGTGACAACAAGGGTCTGGTCCTGCCTCCTCGTGTGGCTGAGGTCCAGGTTATCATTGTCCCGGTCGGCCTCACCGCCAAGACTACCGAGGAGGAGCGTGAGAAGCTCAATGCCGAAGTTGACGGTCTTGTCGCCGTCCTTGTTGCTGCCGGCGTCCGTGCCGACAGCGACAAGAGCAGCTACTCCCCCGGATGGAAGTTCAACCAGTACGAGCTCCGCGGTGTGCCTCTGCGCATTGAGTTCGGTCCCGGCGAGTCCGCCGGCCACTTTGTTACCACCGCCCGCCGTGATATTCCCGGCAAGGATGGCAAGGGTAGCATCCCGATCCCTGAGCTGGCTACTGCCGTTCCTGCACTCCTTGAAACCATCCAGTCTGACCTGTACGATCGCGCTGACGCGCAGTTCAAGGCTCACCGCATCAAGATCACCAAGTGGGATGACTTTGTTCCCGCTCTGAACAACAAGAATCTTTGCGTCATTCCCCACTGCTTGACCGAGGAGTGCGAGGACCAGATCAAGGACATGAGTGCCCGCAAGGCCGAGGAAGAATCCGGCGAGGCTGAGGACGCCAAGGCCCCCAGCATGGGTGCTAAGTCTCTTTGCATTCCTTTCGAGCAGCCCGAGGGTCTTGAGCATGGTGTCACTCCCTGCTGCAACCCCAAGTGCCAGCGTCTTGCTGAGAAGTGGTGCATGTTTGGCCGTAAGTTTCTAATTCCCTGGTTTTTTTTCCGCTATGATTCATAACAAACCACTAACTATCTCAATACAGGCTCTTATTAAGGTACTGCGTTGCATCCATATCAGGTCTTTCATCTGCTGTTGCCAAAACTACCTTGCAGTTCGAAGCATCAGTGGTCGCTACCACCGAGTACTGAAGGCATTGTTTTCTGCGACACTCTCCAGTGCATAGGAAACAAAGCTGAAGTATCAGACTATACGGCATTTTTTCTGTTGGTTCCAAGGCGTCCCTTCGACAATATGTTGACTTACCACTGTGGAGTTCAAGGAGAAATGGCAGGTAGTGGCAATGATATTATGAAAATGAGACATGTCACTATTGCTTTTCTAGGCTTCATTTCTTTTTGTCTATCTGTGACCCTTTTTTTATATTCATAGTCCCGTAAAATAGTATCAAGCTAATAATAAATAGCACATAAATAGCACAGGACATCAGCCCTGGAAGACCCGACATCCCGAGACCCTGAGGGCAAAAATGTGAGCCTCTATACTCAACGAAATAGAAATTTGATATGAAGAAGAATGTAGTAGAAATATTCTGGTATGAATTGGTCAAAGTGCCTATGTATAGACTTAGTTACATAGGGAAATTGGCAAACAATACTCATGAGGGAAGGGGCAACTATCTGCAGAGCGAATAATAGGATATTGATAGATAGGACAATCGCTATGGGGCTAATGTTAATATACACTGATAATAATAAAGACAAGAACATTGACATGACAGGAAATCCGGCCAAATCATGCAACCACGGAATTAAGACAAGAGAAGAACATAATTGGAGGTTAGCAGGGTCTGAGATGTGACAAGAGAAAAAGAGAAAGGGCGAGGGATAGACTAGGGTTAATTGTAGTACATAAATGGGATATATGGATACAAGGTGTATCAGTGTGACAGAAGGATAGATTGGTGCCATATCGAGAGATAATTCGAGAGGACCAAGAGGGAAAGACTAGAAAAGATTGAGCGGCTTTTTGGAAAAAGCAAGAAGGTGGAAGAGAGGGGGAGAGAGTCATGAGAGCATCGTTATCATGCGGCAAAATAGAAATATCCCCGCCTAAATTGGTGAATCGTCTCAAAAGACGATGATTACATCCTAGCAAGTCTCAACCGAGCGTGAACCACGAAGCTGCATGCGAGCACGAGAAAATGGCGACAGACTATTCCCGTAAGGATAGGATGTACCACTGCGGCGAATATGCTGAGGCCAGTACATGAGTTTCTGTGCCTCATCTGGCGAAGCAGCATCGATGACATAGCGGATGTTATTCTCGTCTACTCCTTCGATCTGCACACGCGGCATACTCAGGTTAGGAAGGTGAATAATATCGTCGTCGCTGTCTTCATTTGAGTCATCACTCGAAGGAGCTGAGTGAGCCTGCATGCAGTAGATTGTACCGGGAGCAGAAGGCACTTCAGGGGCCGAGCAGGCCATAGCAGCGAGGTTAACGATGGACTCCGAGCGTCCTTGTTTGCGAGATACAGAGGGGCTTGCGCAGCCACCGGTTGAGATAGATCGTTGTTCGGCGCTTGCGTTCAACACGTCCATGTATGTGATTGGCTCTCCAGATCCGGGGCGGGTTATGATGGGCTCTTTGTGGGGTTGGAATTCGGCCAGGAAGCCCGGCGTGGGTGCCGGGGCGTCAGTGTGTCGACGGCGAATAGGAGAGCCGGAGACCTTTCGTAGGAGGCGGTCGTAGCTGATGCTGGTTGAGATGCTACGGCGGGTTTCGGGGGTTCTCTTGTGCTTGGCGAAGGTCTTGTTCATGAGCCGGTTCTTTGCTGAGGGGCTTCGGTAGAGTGCGGTTGGTGGTCTGAAGTCGTTGCTGAACTCATCTTGATCTGCCAAGGGTGTGAATGGAGGCCCTGGGGCGGGCACGGGCACTCGTCGGAATGCCTCGTGGGAATTAACCTCGCGGACTATAGCATCCTGCAGCGTCTCATATGTTGGGTTGGAGCCTTGAACGCCCTTATAGACCTTGCTGAAAAAGTCCATCATGTCTGAAGGCTTGAAGCGTGAAGACGATTTTGGGGGACTGATTGGGCTAGGAACTGGCAGAGGGCTGTTCATCACTTCTGCGATGCTGGGAGTCTGCTTTAAGTCGCCGGTTGAAGGCGTTGGCGGCTGGATGGCACGGTGCGCAATTTTGGGGCGTCCTTTGGCAGCTAATTGTGTATTGATCGAGAGTCCTCGCGCATTCTTTTTGAAGCTTGGCTCTGATAACTGTGGCGGAGGGAGCGATCTTTGTGTCCCGCGACCTATTGTAGCAGGTGGTCGTGGCACCGAAGAAGCCTCAGTGGGGCCATCACTATCAACCATGGGGATAGGGATTGTAGGGCTATCAGGCAGAGGAGTGTTGCTCCATCTTTTGCCTTGCTTATAGGCCGGAGGAATACCCAAGCGCTGAACAGGAGTTGGGGGGGCATCTTCTTGTGGGACGAAGTCTCCATTCGCAGACAGAATCGGCGCAGACCTCTGGGGTCTAATGTTGCTACCAAGATGGGACTGTGATCCTGGAAATGAAGTGATCGAGCCATCATCTGGGGAGAGCTTTGTCCGTAGATTTTCTGCTGACGCCCAGCTAGACTTCCCCGGATCCCGCTTCCTGCCTTTGCGCCAGTGGCTTTCTGGGATTTGTACTCTACCAGGTGCAGCTGGCGATGACCGAGAACTTAAGTGAGACAAAGAGCGATCAGGGCTGCTGTATTTCGCAATATTTCTGTCCGCCACATCCTCTTGGTATAGGGCCGAAAGTATACCCGAACTGGCAAGTCCATTTCGGTATTGAATCCGCAAAAACCGGGTCATGTTGCGTTCCGCAACATCTTCGTTGTATAGGCTGGCAGGAGGAGAAAGGGGTTCTGGTGTAGTTGCTTGATTGCACTCTGTAGAGAACAGAGCATCCATCAAGTCGATATGTCGAACATTTTGAGGCCTGGGGCGCGCGAAATGGGTGCTGACAGGCCGCAATTGAGTTTGGGAAGATGTTGGACGTGCCAGTCGATCATGTAGATCTTCGAATTGCTTCTCGATCTGATCAAAATGATGGGCCACATCTAGTGCCTGCGAATCTCTGGACGGGAAACCACCCTCAAAGTGGCTTCGTGTGGGCGAGTCAACCGCCGTGGGAAAATGGGATTGCTTTATGCCACAGCCTTCGAGTCCAAGGCTGGTTGCCGGACGAGAAAGAGCCTTATCCGTCTGGAAGAGTTTCTTCAATGCAACCATTTTGAAGATTTGAAGTAAATATCAAGCGCAAACCGGCGCGCAACTGGAAAAAGAATGGCAATGGTGGAGTAGAGAGAAAATAGAATAGAATAGTCTCAAGCTATTAATTAAGGAAACGAGACCAGCAGTCATAAAGAATTAAACAAGTAGATGTCATGGCATTCAAGCTCGAGGAATTGAAGGCCGGGATACGGTCCAGGTATCATATCATAGTAAAAAGGGAGAAAGAAGAATAAGAATCAGAAAGTCCCAAAAAGTAGAACAGGGCCCCGGTATCCTGTCAAGGCAGAGTGCAGATCTAACACTGTTCTTGTGTCTAGATCAGGGGGACCCGGTCTTCTCCATGATCCTAAGATGAGGGCGCGACGATTTCAACGCTAAAATTAAGAATATACGATATACTACTACCGTTTTCTTTGTTTGGAAATTTGCTTCGGCAATTGCAGCTCGAGTCGAGTCGAGTCTTTCTCTCTTTTTCAAGCCCATTTCGGGGGATTCTTTTGCATTCTTTGGGATGTTTTTTTCTTCCCCCCAACCTCATGTCTTGCTAAGTCAATAGTAGCTGCATCTGAATGGGTCCTGCAGCGAGTGGACATTTTTCAGAAAACGTCCAGGCTGCATCATAGGCTGAGAGCTTAAGAGCTGCCCCATCCGAGGCTGTGATCCACACGTGAAGTTTTTTTGACAGCATCGGGCGATGGGCGAGAATCCGCGCTGGTGATTTCCCATGAGGCATCCACCTACGATTGTGCGCCAATCAGCGATTCATGGAGGGATCCCGATATCTAATTATGGTATGTTGGACAGGAGAAAGCGAAAGCGATGGTGGAGTAGGGGCTTGAATTGTGGGATACGATGGAGCGTCTAATTTCCGCACGAGCCGGTCATTGGTGTGACGACGTGATCGCCAGACCGTAAGCCGTCTGCTTAGCGGGAACACACGAACTGAACACCATTTTTGGTCGGGCTTTGAGTAATTTGAAGTTTAGTACTCCGTACTCCGTACTCCGTATGTATGTACTAAGGTCGGATGGAGCAATCCGAAGGCGCAAATGGAGCTGCCTTGAAATTTAAAAACAAAGAAAAAGCAAATCCAGCGGATCTCGGGTTCATTTCCGGCGGAGTATTTACTCCTACAACATATAGCACGAGGTACGGAGTACGGAGTACATTATACTTAGCTCACGGCTTGAACGCTCAGGGGCAAATTGAAACACTAGTCGCAATGGAAGTCGATCTTTCACATTTCAACCTCGTGAAAACCTTGCAAGTGGAGTTCTCGACTCTCTTCAAGTGAGTCTTATTGTACGGAACACCTGCGTGCTTCATGAAATATCCACGGTGTTGCACGATGTATACCTGTATATCACGAACTCCTTAGATCCATGATCTCACGATCGATCGATTTCGATGGGTCTTACGGAGTATGTGCACTAGATCGTCATAATTTGATTTAGGGGAAGTCGGTAGCGTTTAACCGGCTAACGTTCAACCCTATCTGCCCCCTTTTTTGACTGGTTTTTTTTTAGAGCATAAGAATGAATTCTCCTACTTATGTTATATATTATACAGAGTACGGAGTAGCTACTCCGATCATAGTCTCTGGACTATACCCCATACAAATAACTGCAATGAAGCTTAGTATACTGTGTGATCCTTTTGATGGACAACACCGGGAAAAAAAAAAAGACATAAAGACATAACATCAATGAAATCTGAAGACAAAAGCAAGTAAGAATATGGCGGCAATTTGTTGAACGCTTAGGCCATCCGTTTGCAAACCCACTATGAAACTGGCGTAAGAATGATATATTGCCCAACTCACTGTGGCTGCATGAAAAGTACGACATACTTACAGAGTACTCCGTAGTCGGGTTCAAGTGGACCAAGCCTTGTTGTTAGCAATATCGATAATATCAGTGGCATGTCGTGTGACTAGATGTATATTAAAAACCGCTCTACCCACAGTTCAATATCCACACAATAATAGGTTGCCTTGTTAGGACGCCCAAACATCTAGTGGAGTTAGTATTCGGATCCGAGTGCAATATATCACCCAGTTCTCTTTTACATGAGTTACTAAAATCTAAATACCGAAACCCCTGGAGGTGTCGCTGGAGATGATGGATGAAAATGCCGTTTTATTCTGTGCATTTGAGCATTATAGGTAGTCGAAAGTCACTCTCATCCCACTTTTCATCTTTCTCCATATTCAAGTACATAGCCCGGTAGTCCAAGAGGATCATGTCCGCCAAAAGTCTCGTCAAGAATACATATGGAAGTCCATTAAGACGATAGGCGAGTCACAAGATAATATATATTCAGCCGTAGCGAGAGGTGTGGCGTATGGGTCTGGTCAAAAGTAGCACCTTCTACCGCTAGTTGTGGTCACTGCAAACGTAAATCATGTACGGAATACGGAGTAGAAGGGAACTAGTAATGATATTATGCTTATGGCGAAATGCTACATCTTGCTTTCTAGGGCATCGTCTAGTCCTGTGACACAACTTTAAATTGATCGTTAAATAGGAACACCAAAAAAAACTAGCTTATTGCTACATCAATGATAGATCCTGTAGACTTCATTCATTCGTTATGTGGTGTGACTATCTTAGACTTGACCAAAAGACCTAGCGATAGATTCTCTCACAGCCTCGGCCAAGACAGTGTTAGCGCCACGAGCCGCATCAACAGCTCCATCAATCAAGGCTTCATGGCCCGTACGCCCATCGTCATTTTCAAGAGCCGCCCTTGAGCTATCACCCTTGAGCCAGAGCTCAGTAATCTCATCGCGCGCAGGCATGTATGCCACCACACAAGCCGACAGAATCGATCGATGTTCCGCTGGATCAATGTCAAGCATGAGTCGGGGGGGAGATGACGCAGACTGATTCGAGTCATCCGAGACCAAAGCAGCAACACCACCGGACACAAGATCAAGACAGTCAATGTGGGCATCGGCAATGGCAGCAGAAGCCGCTGTGATACAACCGGCAAGCACATTCATCATTCCCCACGACGCATCATGAGAGTCCGGGGCATCGCCCCACCAGCGGTCATCCTCTGCTTCAATGATTGTAACAGTGATATCCAGACCACTCTTGGGCCAGCGCTCGGCAATGATTGCACCACGGAGGGCGGTCTCTAAATGTACGCCAAGATCACGTTCACTGGCATCGCGAATATGTCCTTTTCGCTTGCGGGCGGCGAATGGCGCATACTTGACATGAGTGGTGAGAACAAGGTTCGGGGAGAATGCAGCAGAGCGGGGGAGTGGCTTTGGTCCGTGGACAGTGCAAGCCAGCTTGAGTGCTGAGGAGGGTGGGATCAGAGATTTGGGATTGGAGCGGGCGGCGGCGAGGGAAGCGGAAGGTTCAAATTCAAGATATGAGGAGCCTGAGGCAGTTGGGATCAACCCTGTTTTGAGGACTAGAGCATTGAGCGTTAGCTGCGATCAACAAGAAGCTTGTCGGCGATTCATACAGATTTTCCGTAGTTCGGCGGGTTGGCGCTGGCGTTGGATGCGGTTTGCGACGCCCGTCGACGATTCTTGAAGAGATGCAAAGACTGGAGGTCTTGTACCACCAGGTGGCCCATTGATACGTCTTCTATCGGCCATTTTAGGTAATTTGGTGCAATATTGAAGCTGTCGAGTGATCGCAATGGTTGAAGTCCCAGAAACGGAAATCTTGGGAGTTTGCACTGTTTGTAGGCCCCACCGCCTAGCGCCATTTGGCTTTTTGGCGACTTTTCTTCAATTTTTTTGCTCTTTCCTTTCTTTCTCTTCTTCACACATTCTCTCATTACAGAGAAAACTTCTTCTAATGTCGATGGAGTTTACTCTTGATGATACTTGATATTTACCAATATATCTATCACTAACATGCTATATGTGAGTACCATCAAAACCCCTCCAACACTGTCTACATGATTGAGAGAGTTCCAACTCCTGTTTGGCGACAAAAAATGGGCCATGAACAAACATGCATCACCATCTGATAATGACAACACACTACCATTGTTTTTCAATATTCCACTGCTTGCATCAGGGACTAATAATTGCTTAAAGACAGGAACAAAAACCCTCTTGACTTCTTTCGAAGTACATTGGAAAGCTCCATGGAATTTTCAACTAATCAGGTAAGACAAGCAATTTCTTCTTTCTTTTCCCACCTACACTCATTATGATGAGAAAACATTTTCAGTTCTGCTTCTGCAAAATTTTTGAAGATAACAAAATACCTTACCAAAAACTCCTGATACTTCTTGAGTCATTATCATTGTCTTGCACCCATCCTGTCAGTGACATGAATGCTGACAAGTCAAAAAGATCTAGCTGTAATCCATATCATTGATGCTCTACCTTATCATCTACCTAAAAGGTACATCATTGTCTCTCTTTCACTGCACATCACCCCCAGTTATAATGATGACAACCAGTCTATCCATTCAATGACCTCTTTTGAGGACCGCCCCTCAGGTTGCACCCAAGCCGTACAACATTGTGAAGAATACAGGCGTCGATCCACTGTTTTCCACCTCCCTTATACTGGACCTTTTGTGCCTTCGGGTGTGATCGGGAGGAAGGTTGTGGAGCCTGGAGGCTTTGGGCCCGTCGTCGTCTGATCACGTTCTTTGCATCGTTGTCTTGTCCGCGGCATGGTACTGCTATACTTGGCTTGTGTTGGTTTCCTAATGCTGAGCTGCTTATCCGTCTTGGGTGACAGTTCGGTGGGAGGGGCCAACAGGGGATGGGATGAATTAACCGGCTTGACTGAATACTATTATGCTTCTACTTTTACTTGCAATTGTGAAGCTATTTGTGCTCGTTTTGCTCCTTCTGGTCTTTTTGGACTTTTGCTGACAGCATTCAAAGCTTTGCCTAGGTCTGCACCTCAGAATACATAGTATATGGTTTAATGCATGTGCATGATCGCACAACTTCACATAAGAAAAGGACTTGTTTGTAGTAAATAGATGCATGTAGTCGAGTAATGGAG